GCGTGTCTCGCGGCCCAAGGTTTCACCGACCAGTCTTTGGACTGGTTCCCCTGGTGTCGGGTCGGCCTTTCGAGTCTGGGGCTGCCTTGCACTTGTTCGCGACACCTCCGCGGACAAGCTCTCGGCACGCGCCGTCCCCTGTGACTTCCTTGGTTTCCCAGTGGACTCTGCCGACTGGTCCTTTTACCACCCTCCCCTCCACCACTTCCTAGACTCCCGTGACGTCCGGTTTGACGAGTCCGTGTCCTACTACACCCGGTACCCCTGTCGAGGTCTCCCGGTACCCCCTCCCCCTCTTTTCCTCGTACCCTCTCCTCCTCCTGCTCCCGCTCCTCCGGTACCCCCGCCCCCCCCTGGTCCTGCCCCGTCTGGTGTGTCCCACGTTACCCCTCTACCCTCGGTCGCGCGTCAGGTAGCGTCTCCCTCCCCGCAGTCCTCCTCACAGTCCCCTCAGCAGCCTTCGGCACTTCCGCGACAGGTTACTGTGGACTCGGTTGGTGTTGGGGCTGGAGGTGCAGCCACTGGCGGTGCTAGGTCTGGGGGTACTCGGTCGCGGGGTGCTGGAGCTGGAGGTGCTGGTGCAGGTGGCGCCAGCTCTGGGGGTGCTGGAGCTGGAGGTGCTGGCGCAGGTGGTGCTAGCTCTGGGGGTGCTGGAGCTGGAGGTGCTGGCACTGGTGGTGCTAGTTCTGGGGGTGCTGGAGTTGGAGGTCCTGGCACTGAAGGTGCTGGTACTAGGGGTGCTGGAGTTGGAGGTCCTGGCACTGGAGGTGCTGGTTCTGGGGGTGCTGAGTCTGAGGAGTCTGACCCTGGTTCTGCGGAGTCCACTCCGCCTCCCCACCGCCACGACACACGACTCCAGGCTACCCGCCGGCGTGAGCGTGAGGAGCAGGAGCGGTTGGAGAGGGAGCGGCAGGAGCTGCGGGTGCTGGACCTTCTGGCGCAGCAGCGGCAGCAGCAGCAGCAGCAGCGGCAGCAGCAGCAGCAGCAGCAGCAGCAGCAGCCGCAGCAGCAGCCGCAGCCGCAGTCGCCGCCGCAGCAGCAGCAGCCGCAGCCGCCACCACAGCTTCCTCTGGAGCGGCAGTTGTTCCCACCTGTGAGTGGCCTGCGGGCCCTTGGCTTTTCCTCCTCTCCTCCTGTCCGCTCCCAGTCTCCTCCTGTGTTTGTTCCTCCGTTGCCTCCTCCTGACGACCGTCCGGCGGTCTGGTCTTCTCCTCCTCCCCAGTCTCCTCCTCCTTCGGTCCGTCGCGACTTAGTCACTCGTTGTCCTCCGCGTGCTCGTCACTCGTCCCCTGTTACTGACCTCCACACTGCCCTCCTTTGTACGTCTCGTCATCGTTCTCCTTCTCCTGTGTCCGTTCTCCCGTCTCCTCCTCCGTCCTCTCTCCCAGCCCTCCCCACTCCTATCACTGACTACTACCGCACTGTTCGTCCTGTTGCCGCACGTGTCCTCGCCACTCTTGTCACCGACTCTCGTTTCCCTCCGTCGTCGGTCTCTGCTCTCACTGCCGCTGTCGCTGAGTTTGCTGCCGCCAGCCGCCTTGACTACGCCACCCGTGTGGTGCCAGCTCCTCCCTACCGTCCTCTGTCCGTCGGGGGTGAGTTTGCCCTTGGCTGTGACGTCCTAGAGGACAGAGAGTCTGAGCTGGAGTACTGGGCAGCCGCTTCTCCCTCTGTGTGTGCCATGCTGCTCTCCCCTGAGGGAGACCCCGACGCCCTTGACATACCGACTCCTCGCACTTACCGCGAGGCAGTGTCAGGGGCGTGGGCCTCTCAGTGGAAAGCGGCTATGGACTCAGAGTTGGCGTCTTGGAGATCCACAGGCACCTACGTCGATGCAGTTCCCCCTCCCAGGGCGAACGTAGTCGATGGCATGTGGCTCTTCAAGGTGAAGCGGCCGCCTGGAGCACCGCCGGTGTTCAAGGCGCGCTACGTGGCTAGGGGCTTCAGTCAGCGTGAGGGAGTTGACTTCTTCCAGACCTTCGCCCCGACCCCGAAGATGACTACTCTTCGGGTGTTACTCCACATAGCAGCGCAGCGAGACTACGAGCTGCACTCCCTCGACTTCTCCACTGCGTTCCTCCAGGGCCGACTGCACGAGGAGATCTGGCTGCGCCGTCCTCCTGGCTTCACTGAAACCTTCCCACCTGGGACCCAGTGGAGCCTGAGGCGACCAGTCTACGGTCTCCGCCAGTCGCCCCGTGAGTGGCACGACACTCTTCGCTCCACGCTTCGTGACCTTGGGTTCAGCCCGTCCTCCGCCGACCCGTCGCTGTTTGTTCGAGCGGGTTCTACTCCTTTCTTTATCCTTGTCTACGTCGACGACTTGGTGTTTGCTACAGCAGACAGGGCAGCCCTGGCTCAGGTGAAGTTCGAACTGCAGAAGAGACACAAGTGCACTGACCTAGGTGAGCTGCAGCGTTACCTTGGCTTGAAGATTACCCGGGACAGAGCCGCTCGCACCATCACACTGACGCAGTCACACATGGTGCAGCAGGTCCTTCGGCGGTTCGACTTCCAGTTCTCCACCACACAGCCCACTCCTCTTGCTGTTGACCACAGACTCACTGGCCCCTTTCCCGACGAGCCTTTTGAGTCCAGTGGTCCCTACGCAGAGCTGGTGGGCTGCCTCATGTACCTGATGACTTGTACTCGGCCGGACCTCGCCTTTCCCCTCAGCGTCCTCTCTCGCTTTGTTGCGACTGGGAGACACCGTCCTGTCCACTGGACAGCTGCTGTGAGGGTGGCGAAGTACCTGGCGACTACATCAGGCATGGGGCTTGTGCTTGGAGGGACTCAGCCAGTGGCGTTGACTGGTCACTGTGACTCTTCCTACGCTGACGACGTGGAGACTCAGCGTTCGACTCAGGGTTACTGCTTCAGTCTGGGAGCTGGTGCTGTGTCGTGGAGGTCTACACGGTCGTCGTCTGTGGCTACTTCCAGTGCAGAGGCAGAGATCTACGCTGGTGCCATGGCGGCACAGGAGCTTCGCTGGTTGACCTTCTTACTCGCCGACCTTGGTGAGCGGCCTCGCTCTGCACCGACCTTGTACGCTGACAACAAGGCCATGATCCTCCTGTGTCGAGAGCCTCGACTGGAGAGCAGAGTGAAGCATATTGACGTGAGGTACTTCCTCCTGCGAGAGCTGCAGCGACGCGGCCAGGCACGCCTGGACTTTGTGGCCTCAGAGGCCAACACTGCAGACGTCTTCACCAAGGCCTTGGCGCTTGGTGATCACCACAGGTTCTGTGTGCAGTTGGGGCTTGTTGAGGTAGGCCCCCGGTTGCTGTTGTCTTGTTGCTTGCTCTGCTTGTTGTGTTTTCCTATTTATATCCTAGTGAACTCTTGAACTGGCCTTGTGGCCGCTTGCTTGTGCTCGGAATTTGTGTGGTGTCCTTGAGATCCACCCTGAGCTTGTCTTGCCTTGACTGGTATTGTGACCGTTTGTTTTACCTTGCTTGCCCTGGTGTCCCTCACTTAGCCTATGGGGGTGTGTCAAATGTTAATGTTATGATAGGCTGCAGTGAGGCACTCCCTAGAGGGTACAACATTTGTAGGACTCCTATTTGTATGCTTGCAAACCCTAATCCCAATCATTCCGTTGCATGTAGATTATGAGAGCACTGTAGGTGAATGACATGCACCAGGCCCCTAGATTCGTTTTGAGGCACTCTGATCGATCAGTGTACACCCCTCCTGGAACTCTGTCTGTCAGAGGTGCCTCAACATTTTAGTCTGAAAATTCAGACAAGCACAACTTTTTTTTGTCTGAATTGTCAGAGTTACCTTCGAATTTTAGCAGTTTCGTAAAAGCATACTTATAATAGCATTGAAGCTGATTACAGCATACCAACGCAACTGTGCGGTGGCGCGCTCGGGAAGATTTGGTTTCTCGCCCGTGATTTTTGGTCTGGCACTTCGGCCAGAAATGGGGCACTCTGATTGGTCATTTTTCAAAAGTTAGGAACACTGAGCAGTCAGGGTCGAGGTGTCGGCATGAGACAATGGCCTCTTGCAAGTGCCAAGTGTGGCAAGCTCACAATCAGCTGACCTGGCAGCAGGCACGGTATCGCTCGGCACTTTTCTGTGGTGGGCACGCTGGCAGCAGCAAGAGATTTCAACAGTTTACACCGTATGTGCGCAGAATATTTTCTCCCAAATCTGTAGCTTCGTAATTTTGACTCGGTTTGGCAAGGGGAAATGATGTGCGCTTCTGCTGAAGTACGAGACTCATATGTGACAAGGCTTTCGTTTGCACCAATTCGCTTTTCGCCATGTGCGATTCGCTAAAATCGTTTTGGCCATGTGCGATTTGCTATCTAGTTTCATAATGTACGGGTTATATAAGCCCCCAATGAATTCGAAATTCGTGATAGCGTCGAAGAAGTAGTGTATTCTGGTGCCCCTACTCGAGCAGTTTTCTCTGGAGGAAATCGTTAGTGCTGGCCCGTACACACGTGGGTGTATCGAGAGGAAATTTCGAGGAAGTTTCGTTCCGATAACCTTTCATTCAGGCTGGCGGAAACCCCTGTATTTCTGGTTTCAGAGTGCACCCCCGATACAAGTCTGAGGCTCAGTCTGCACTAATAAAATTAGGCTGAAATTTCAGACAACTCATAAAAACAAACTCTGGAAAATCAGACAAGGTACATAAAAAAATTCTTAGACTTCAGACAAGGTACATAAAAAAAGTCTGAACGGACTCTGAATCAGACTTAAAAGTCTGATATCTAGGGCACTGACATGGACTAACCTTTATAAGCAGTTGCGATTCCAGCAATGTGCTTGAACTTTGGGCAAATACCCACTCTGCACTTCTTCTCCCATGCAAGCAGGAGCTCAACAGTTCAGTTCAGATGTTATAATCAATTTATAAGAAAGTGAACACATGAACAACCCCCTCTCATGGTAACGCTGCCAGCGCTTGGATTGGAGTCATGAGGCAGGCAGGATGGAGGTGCAGCTACAGTGCAAGATGCGACCAGGAGGTAAGGAGCAGCGCATCAGGAGGTGAGGTGCAGCGCATCTGGCGTGTCCTGCAAGATGCCTCGCATCTGCAGGTACGGATTCTCCAGCAGCTTCTCGTTGTTCGTCTGAGCGACAGGGGACGACGGGGAGATGGGATGGGGGAAGAGATGGGTGGAAGACGCAGGTGAGTGTGTGAGAGGGTTAGAGTGGAAGGAAACAGCAGTGAAAGGAAGTGTGAGCAAGTGGTGTGCCAAACCAGGGAGCAGCTGCTGGGTGAAACAAAAGGAGTCCATGTGCTGGGGTGAGAGAGGCGATCTCACTGCTGGCACATCAAAACATGGCACCAAAGTGGTGTTGGTTCAGAGCGCGCACCTGCTGCGCTGTGAAAGATGAGCACTCACCTGCTGCGCTGTGAAAGATGAGCACTCACCTGCTGCGCTGTGAAAGATGAGCACTCACCTGCTGCGCTGTGAAAGATGAGCACGCACCTGCTGCGCTGTGAAAATAAGGCGGTGCAGCGCACGGCGGTACACATCAGGTTGCTGTGACATCATACGCTGGCACAGAGGGGGAAGAGGGAGTGGTGGGGTTGGTTGGTGTGACGAGGCGGTGACATTAAGTTGCAGGGGAGAAGAAGAACCGGGGAGGGGGAGAGAACGAGCGATGCAGAGAAGTGGGGATTTGGAAAGCTGGTGAGAAAAGAATGCACATGGTTCCTTAGGACAGCATGGCATGGGGCAGACAGTGAGGCGAGAGGAGGGTGGGTTGGGGGAGAGGGTGGGAGAGGGTGAGAGAGGGTGGGAGGGGGTGAGAGCGGGTGGGAGGGGGTGAGAGAGGGTGGGCGGGGTTGAGCGAGGGTGAGAGATTGTTGGAGAGGGTGAGAGAGGGTGAGGGAGAGTGGGAAGGGGTGGGAGTGGGTAAGAGAGAGTGAGGGAGGCTGGGAGAGGGTGAGAGCGTGAGAGAGGGTGGGAGAGCGTGAGAGAGGGTGGGAGAGCGTGAGAGAGGGTGGGAGAGCGTGAGAGAGGGTGGGAGAGCGTGAGAGAGGGTGGGAGAGCGTGAGAGAGGGTGGGAGGCACCTTGACGAGGAAGGCAGCACTCCAATAGGCAATGCGGGCATCGGGATCATCGAGCAGCGACCTGACGGCATGGCAGGGCGACGTGGAGGAACGCACAAGGGGCTTGAACGGGGTTGTGCAAGCACACGGAACTGAAACTCTTGACAGGGAGTGCATGTGCGCGTGCGATTCTGTGCGCCAGAGCGGGTGCGTACCCCGGTGGGCATGCGTATGCGTGCGTGCGTGTGAGAGTGGGCAATAGCTAGGTACGAACTGGCTACAACATGAGAGATCTGGCAGCAAGTTGCATTCACAAGGTGCAGCACAGGGGAGCACGAAATACTCGTCTCCTCACCAGCACAGCCCAGCGCAGCCCAGCACAGCCCAGCAGCGCCCAGCACAACCCAGCACAACCCAGCACAACCCAGCACAACCCAGCACAGTCCAGCGCCACCCAGCAGCGCCCAGCAGCGCAGCACTCACCGGAAGAAGGCATCCCCTCCAACCTCCTCCAGCGCCTCACTGCTATCACTGCACTTGCCAATGAGCAACAGCAGCAGCGCCACACGCACGTCCACCGCCCCCCCCGCACCCACAATCCCGTGACTCCCCACCGCCGTCGCCAGCGCTATCGGATCCCCCGCGCTCGGCGCCAGCTGCATCAGCGGCCAGTACAGCAGCGCCGTCGGCAGCGCTGCTAGCAGCTCCCTCGCCGCTGCTGCCCTGCGCAGCAGGAACAGCCGTGCCATGGATTCACTCTCCTCTGCTGCATACGGGGGGCTCATTGCAACCCCGCCTTCTCCTCCCGCTACTGCTGCCACTCGCGGGTTCACCAGCCAACTGCTACCTCCAGGGCTGGGGACCGGGCTGCCGGGCTCAACGACTTGCGCGGTGGGGAGGAACCTGGGGACACAGAGCTGCCAGAGCATGACGGAGCACATCTGGAGGATGTTCACTCGGTCGCTGTCGTTGCACGACATGACTTGCCACAGCGCACTGCTCATTACGGCTAGTAAGTCCTGTGCGCCTTGGTGCTGCACTGCTGATGCTGCTGCCGCGGCTTCGTCTGCTGCCCGCCGCTCCTCCATCCCCATGGGCCCCTCGGGAGCTTCTGCTGCCGCTGCTGCAGCGGCGTGTGCCGCGCCGCGGCTTTCTCTCGACTCCTGCTCGGTTTCCGCGGCGTGCAGCAGCAGCAGCTGCTCCAGCACTGTCACGAATCCTCTCCTCACGGCTGTGTTGTCTGATCGCACTAGCTCCAGCATCAGCTGCACCGCGCCTGATACGCCTGCCCTCCGCCCTCCCCCGCCTCCCCCCCCACCGCCTGCCCCTCCCCCCATGCCCATCCCCATGCCCCCCCCGCCCCCCCCCTCCTCCCCCGCCTCCCCTTGCTCCAGCTGCGCCAACTGCCGGTATAAAACCATAAGCTGCCCGCCCCGGCCCCTCTGCTGCTGCTGCTGCTGTCCGTCCTGTGGGTCCGCGAGCAGGGGCTGCTGGTAGGGTGCGAGGTTGGGCAGCTGCTGCAGCAGCAGGTGCAGCAGCCATGTGAGCCCATTGCGCCGGTCCACTGCCCGCTGCGAGTGCAGCAGCGCACGCAGCGTGCCCCACGCGCGCCTCTCTTTCCCTACCTCCGCCTCGTCCGCACCACCACCACCAGCGCCACCGTTGCTGCTGGTGCCAGCGCTGTCGCGGGTGTTGGTGGAAGGGGCGGGGTCGGGAGGAGGGCCGTCGCTGGCGAGGGTGCATTGCAGCATGGCTGTGAACTCCGGGGGCAGGCGCAGGTGCGCTGATATCAGGTCGTCCAGTGTGTCCGTCACTAGGTGCAGGGCCTGGTGGGGGGTGGGGGTGGGTAGGGAGCGGGTGGGTAGGGCAGGGAGTGCTTGTATGACCCTGGGGAATCTTCAAAGGTAACTCAAGCAGGCGCAGGTGCGCTGATATCAGGTCGTCCAGTGTGTCTGTCACTAGGTGCAGGGCCTGGTGGGGGGTGGGGGTCGTGGGGGGGGGTCGGGGTGGATAGGGAGTGCTTGCATCACGTTAGGGAGTCTTCTAACAAGCAGGCGCAGGTGCGCTGATATCAGGTCGTCCTATGTGTCTGTCACTAGGTGCAGGGCCTGGCTGGTGTGGGGGTGGGGTTGGGTACGGAGGGGATGGGGATGAGTAAGAAAAGAAGAACCTGTATTCTCAATTCAGCGATGATACAAGCAGGCGCAGGTGCGCTGATATGAGGCCACCCAGTGTGTCCGTCCGTCACTAGATGTATGTATCAGGCCTGGTGGGGCCCTCATGGGTCCTGGTGGGGACTGGTGGCGACTGGTGGAGGGTGGTGGGGGGTAAGAAGCTGAGGGGGATTTGAGTCATCTCATCTCATCTCAAAGGGCGTCCAGTGTGTGTGTCACTAGGGGCACGGCCTGGTGGGCGGGTGGGGTGGGTGGGGGGGTTGATTCGGGGGGCAGACACGATGGAAGGATGAGGTGGAGTGGAGTGGAGTGGAGGAAGGGAGTGAGCGGAACCAGGCCCCATGCACGACGAACGATGCAGTGCGGTGGGGTAAGAGCGGGAAAGATACGGGACGTGGGCTCGCTACGGGCTGTATACCCTGGTGAGGTGAACAACAGGGCATACAACTGGTAGCGACGCAAGGCAAGGCAAGGCAAGGCAGCAGATGGCAGCATGCGATGCGAGCACATCAGGCACCGCCCTCAACTCCTCATCACACCACCGCACCCTCCACCACCTCCCCACGTGCGACCCCCAACGTCTTCCCCTTCCCCAGCCCGACCACCCCAATGTCTGCCCCTTGTCCCCCTGCCCTCCCCTACGCCCTCCTGCGCCCTCCTGCACCCCCCTGCGCCCCGCTGTGCCCCCCTGCGCCCCCTGCGCCCCTCTGTGGACCCCCCCTCTTCCCTGCGCCCCCTTATGCGCACCTGCAGGGAGAAGCCGGCAGCGGAGGGGTCGGGGGGGAGGGAGGCAGCGATGGTGCGCGCGAGAGCAGCGCCGATGGGGCCTGCTGGGGGCGACGGCGCCTTGAGCGCCACCGCCAGCGCCTCTGGCGCCCCCGCTGCCACCAGCGCCGCCACCACCGCTGCTAGCTCCACCTCCTGGGGGTGGGGAGAGGGGGGGGAACAGGGAACGGGGAACGGGGGAGGGGGGGAGGGAGAGGGGGGAGAGGGGGAGAGGGAGGGCGAAAGTGGAGAGGGGAGAGGAGGAGAGGGGAGGGGAGAGGGAGGGCGGAAGGGGAGAGGGGGAAGGGGGGGAGGAGAAGGGGGGGAAAGAGGGAGGGCGAGGGGGGAGGGGGGATGAGGAGGGGGAGGGCGGAAGGGGAGGGGTGAATGGGAAAAAGGGAGGGAGGGAGGGAGTACGGGAGGGAGGGAGAGTGAGGAGGGATGCGGGAAGGAAGGGACTAGGTGAGAATATGTGGGAATGGCGAGAGGTGGACGTGGAGTAGTGGCAGGGGTGGATGTTGGGGTGCATGGCATGCAAACACCAATGAGGGTGCGGCGGCTGCAAGGAAGGTAGGTGGTGAGAGCAGTAGCGATGCAGAGCGGTGGTGCGAGGCCGAGCAGGAAGGCCGCGCGGGTGAATGCGTGGATGCAGAGGAGGGGCGAAGGTGCACCGTGGACCGTGCGCCGTGCGCCATGGATGAATACTGGGACAATGCATGGATGAATGCTGGGACAATGCATGGATGAATGCTGGGACAATGCATGGATGAATGCTGGGACAATGCATGGATGAATGCTGGGACAATGCATGGATGAATGCTGGGACAATGCATGGATGAATGCTGGGACAATGCATGGATGAATGCTGGGACAATGCATGGATGAATGCTGGGACAATGCATGGATGAATGCTGGGACAATGCATGGATGAATGCTGGGACAATGCATGGATGAATGCTGGGACAATGCATGGATGAATGCTGGGACAATGCATGGATGAATGCTGGGACAATGCATGGATGAATGCTGGGACAATGCATGGATGAATGCTGGGACAATGCATGGATGAATGCTGGGACAATGCATGGATGAATGCTGGGACAATGCATGGATGAATGCTGGGACAATGCATGGATGAATGCTGGGACAATGCATGGATGAATGCTGGGACAATGCATGGATGAATGCTGGGACAATGCATGGATGAATGCTGGGACAATGCATGGATGAATGCTGGGACAATGCATGGATGAATGCTGGGACAATGCATGGATGAATGCTGGGACAATGCATGGATGAATGCTGGGACAATGCATGGATGAATGCTGGGACAATGCATGGATGAATGCTGGGACAATGCATGGATGAATGCTGGGACAATGCATGGATGAATGCTGGGACAATGCATGGATGAATGCTGGGACAATGCATGGATGAATGCTGGGACAATGCATGGATGAATGCTGGGACAATGCATGGATGAATGCTGGGACAATGCATGGATGAATGCTGGGACAATGCATGGATGAATGCTGGGACAATGCATGGATGAATGCTGGGACAATGCATGGATGAATGCTGGGACAATGCATGGATGAATGCTGGGACAATGCATGGATGAATGCTGGGACAATGCATGGATGAATGCTGGGACAATGCATGGATGAATGCTGGGACAATGCATGGATGAATGCTGGGACAATGCATGGATGAATGCTGGGACAATGCATGGATGAATGCTGGGACAATGCATGGATGAATGCTGGGACAATGCATGGATGAATGCTGGGACAATGCATGGATGAATGCTGGGACAATGCATGGATGAATGCTGGGACAATGCATGGATGAATGCTGGGACAATGCATGGATGAATGCTGGGACAATGCATGGATGAATGCTGGGACAATGCATGGATGAATGCTGGGACAATGCATGGATGAATGCTGGGACAATGCATGGATGAATGCTGGGACAATGCATGGATGAATGCTGGGACAATGCATGGATGAATGCTGGGACAATGCATGGATGAATGCTGGGACAATGCATGGATGAATGCTGGGACAATGCATGGATGAATGCTGGGACAATGCATGGATGAATGCTGGGACAATGCATGGATGAATGCTGGGACAATGCATGGATGAATGCTGGGACAATGCATGGATGAATGCTGGGACAATGCATGGATGAATGCTGGGACAATGCATGGATGAATGCTGGGACAATGCATGGATGAATGCTGGGACAATGCATGGATGAATGCTGGGACAATGCATGGATGAATGCTGGGACAATGCATGGATGAATGCCGGGACAATGCATGGATGAATGCTGGGACAATGCATGGATGAATGCTGGGACAATGCATGGATGAATGCTGGGACAATGCATGGATGAATGCTGGGACAATGCATGGATGAATGCTGGGACAATGCATGGATGAATGCTGGGACAATGCATGGATGAATGCTGGGACAATGCATGGATGAATGCTGGGACAATGCATGGATGAATGCTGGGACAATGCATGGATGAATGCTGGGACAATGCATGGATGAATGCTGGGACAATGCATGGATGAATGCTGGGACAATGCATGGATGAATGCTGGGACAATGCATGGATGAATGCTGCGACAATGCATGGATGAATGCTGGGACAATGCATGGATGAATGCTGGGACAATGCATGGATGAATGCTGGGACAATGCATGGATGAATGCTGGGACAATGCATGGATGAATGCTGGGACAATGCATGGATGAATGCTGGGACAATGCATGGATGAATGCTGGGACAATGCATGGATGAATGCTGGGACAATGCATGGATGAATGCTGGGACAATGCATGGATGAATGCTGGGACAATGCATGGATGAATGCTGGGACAATGCATGGATGAATGCTGGGACAATGCATGGATGAATGCTGGGACAATGCATGGATGAATGCTGCGACAATGCATGGATGAATGCTGCGACAATGCATGGATGAATGCTGGGACAATGCATGGATGAATGCTGGGACAATGCATGGATGAATGCTGGGACAATGCATGGATGAATGCTGGGACAATGCATGGATGAATGCTGGGACAATGCATGGATGAATGCTGGGACAATGCATGGATGAATGCTGGGACAATGCATGGATGAATGCTGGGACAATGCATGGATGAATGCTGGGACAATGCATGGATGAATGCTGGGACAATGCATGGATGAATGCTGGGACAATGCATGGATGAATGCTGGGACAATGCATGGATGAATGCTGGGACAATGCATGGATGAATGCTGGGACAATGCATGGATGAATGCTGGGACAATGCATGGATGGATGCATGCCATGGTGAAAGGATCTCCCCCCCACAGGCTGCTGCTGGTGCTGGCATGCAGATGCACACAGAGCCCGCACACACAGCCCGCACACACAGCCCGCGGTGAATTTTGAGTCGACTCAAACGGCACCTTGCACACAGAGCCCGCACACACACACACGTACGGAGGGCGGAGGGTGGTTGGGGTGGTGCGGGTGCGGGTGCAGGCGGCACAGCAGCGCCACATAGTCCATCACCACGGCAAACAGGTTGCGCCTCGCCTCCACCTCCTGCGATGCCGCGTACTGTGAGGCCGAGAAGGAGTGGTGGAGGAGGGAAGGGTTGTTGGTGGGGTGAAGGTGGGGGAGAAGCGATGGGGTGAGGATGGGAGGTACGGCGTGTTGTAAGGAGAGGATGGGGACGGTGGGAATGAGGAGGTGGGGTGGGGTGGGGGAAGCGTGGGGCGGAGCGAGGGGGAAATGGCGGAGGGCAAGAGGAAAGAGAAGAGGGCAAGAGGAGAGAGAAGAGGGCAAGAGGAAAGAGAAGAGGGCAAGAGGAGAGAGAAGAGGGCAAGAGGAGAGAGAAGAGGGCAAGAGGAGAGAGAAGAGGGCAAGAGGAAAGAGAAGAGGGCAAGAGGAGAGAGAAGAGGGCAAGAGGAGAGAGAAGAGGGCAAGAGGAGAGAGAAGAGGGCAAGAGGAGAGAGAAGAGGGCAAGAGGAAAGAGAAGAGGGCAAGAGGAGAGAGAAGAGGGCAAGAGGAGAGAGAAGAGGGCAAGAGGAGAGAGAAGAGGGAAAGAGGAAAGAGAAGAGGGCAAGAGGAGAGAGAAGAGGGCAAGAGGAGAGAGAAGAGGGCAAGAGGAAAGAGAAGAGGGCAAGAGGAGAGAGCAGAAGGCAAGAGGAGAGAGCAGAAGGCAAGAGGAGAGAGCAGAAGGCAAGAGGAGAGAGCAGAAGGCAAGAGGAGAGAGCAGAAGGCAAGAGGAGAGAGCAGAGGGCAAGAGGAGAGAGCAGAAGGCAAGAGGAGAGAGCAGAGGGCAAGAGGAGAGAGCAGAGGGCAAGAGGAGAGAGCAGAGGGCAAGAGGAGAGAGCAGAAGGCAAGAGGAGAGAGCAGAAGGCAAGAGGAGAGAGCAGAGGGCAAGAGGAGAGAGCAGAAGGCAAGAGGAGAGAGCAGAGGGCAAGAGGAGAGAGCAGAAGGCAAGAGGAGAGAGCAGAGGGCAAGAGGAGAGAGCAGAGGGCAAGAGGAGAGAGCAGAAGGCAAGAGGAGAGAGCAGAGGGCAAGAGGAGAGAGCAGAAGGCAAGAGGAGAGAGCAGAAGGCAAGAGGAGAGAGCAGAAGGCAAGAGGAGAGAGCAGAAGGCAAGAGGAAAGAGCAGAGGGCAAGAGGAGAGAGCAGAAGGCAAGAGGAGAGAGCAGAAGGCAAGAGGAAAGAGAGCCGCAGAGAAGGCAGAACGGGGGGGTACTCACGTGGCAGCAGATGAAGGAGATGCCCCCCACGCGCTCCAGCTGCTTCACGTCCAGGCGCAGGCCGTCCCTCGCCGCCTCAAACGCGCGCCCTGGTGGGTGCTGTGCGGTGTGGTGCGGTGCTGCGTAGAGCAGGCAGGCGAGCATGCGCACGAGGTGCGTGTGCACTGCCTGCGCCCACCCGTGCACTATGCTGATCTCCAATAGCAATGCTAGCACCTGGGGGGGTGGGAAGGGGAGTGGGGAAATGGAGGAGGGGAGGGAGGGAGGGAGGGAGGGAGGGAGGGAGGGAGGGAGGGAGGGAGGGAGGGAGGGAGGGAGGGAGGGAGGGAGGGAGGGAGGGAGGGAGGGAGGGAGGGAGAAAAAATGTACAGCAGAAGGTGGTTGCATGTGATAGGAGGAGGGGGGGGAGAGGGGAGGGGAGTGGGAGGAGGAGCATCAAAGCACAAACGCAATTCTGAGAATCCTCAAAAGTGATTCAAATAACGGAGAAGGATGAGCAGGGGGAGGATGAGGAGGAGGGGGACAGGGAGGGTGAGGTGGAGGAGGGGGAAGGAAGGGGGAGGTGGCACTGACCCGGACATCCAGCAGCGCGAGGCGGTGGAAAACCGTCCTGCCGCGGTCGCACGTGAGGTAGAGCAGACAGCTGAGCGCCGCTGCCCACACACTCTCATCGCTCTCCTCCACCTGCATGGGAGCGGGCGGGCGGCGAGAGAGAGGGGTGCAGGGAAAGAGGAGGGAAGAGTGGAAGGAGAGAGAGCAACAGGGTTTGGAGGGAAGGAGAATTAATTTTCTAATTGTGCGGCGGGTAGTGAAAGTAAGAGGAGGTAGAGATCTTTCTCTATTTTGGGCGCCCCTCAAGTGCACGCGGAGACACTTGCATGGAGTCATAACGGACCCAGCAAGCAACACATAAAGTATAAGCCCCCTTCGCAAGGTTTGCTTGCTTGCTCACACCGTAGGCCACCCACGGTTTGCCTTGTTGGCGAAGGCTTACGCACGCACCGGAACGGGGGCTGCTTCGCTTGCGCTGCGCTCTTGACGAGGCGGGCTGAGGGCACGCTTGTTTCTTTTGCTTTGCAAGCTTTGCTTGTTCTAACGAACCTTTCCTACTTGGCAAGCAAGCCTGCACCCAAGGTGGGTTAGCGAAAGCAAAGTAAGCGCTTCCCCGAGGCCACGTAAGTTGTTACAGAACCTTTCTTGTGTGAGTATGCTGTGGAAGCCGACCGGCCCACGGACCTGCACGAGGTAGAGTGCCATGTCACAGAGCAGCCCCAGCAGCCACTCCCCAGCAGCCACTCCCCAGCAGCCACTCCCCAGCAGCCACTCTCCAGCAGCCACTCCCCAGCAGCCACTCCCCAGCAGCCACTCCCCAGCAGCCACTCCCCCGCAGCCACTCCCTAGCAGCCACTGCTGCTGCCCATGGGTGAAGGCCCGATACAACAGTTTCTTGTCCGAGAGCCTACCTGCATATGGACCCACCTGCACGAAGACCCACCTGCACAAGGACCCACCTGCACGAGGACCCACCTGCACAAGGACCCACCTGCACGAGGACCCACCTGCACAAGGTAGAGTGCCATGTCGCACAGCAGCCCCAGCAGCCACTCCTCAAACATGGTCACTGCCGCTTCCGCCCGTGGGTGAAGGCCTGATACAACAGTTTTTGTCCGAGAGCCTACCTGCTGCACGCATTAGAGCGATAGGCCCAGCCACCCACCTGCACAAGGTAGAGCGCCATGTCGCACAGCAGCCCCAGCAGCCACTCCTCAAACATGGTCACGGCGGCCGCCCTGCGCACGGCCCCACGCTCCGCCTCGGCGGCATCGGCGTCGGAGGAGTAGGGCTGCCCCGCCTCGTCCTCCACGGGCAGGGGGTGCAGCAGGTGCGCGTGCACTCCCAGGTTCAGCATCAGGTCGAACGCCCGCATGCGCACTGTGGGTTTGTTGGAGGAGAGGAGCGTCTGGAGAGAAGCGGGGGGGGGAGGAGGGGGGGAGGGGGTGGGAGGGAAGGAGAAGGGGAGGAGGAGGGGAGGAAAGGGGAGGAGAAGGGGCGACAGGAGGTTGGGGGAAGGAAGAGGGATGAGGAATTGGGGGGAAGGATTTTCAGAACTCAAAAGCCAGCTGCTCTAATCGGCATCGGCATCGGAGGAGTAGGGCTGCCCCGCCTCGTCCTCCACAGGGAGAGGGTGCAGCAGGTGCGCGTGCACTCCCAGGTTCAGCATCAGATCGAACGCCCGCACTCGCACAGTCGGTTTGTTGGAGGAGAGGAGCGTCTGGAAGGGCGTGGGGAAAGGGGTGCCAGAAAGGTGGGAGAGGGGGAGGATGTGGGGGAAGGGGTGACGGAAGGGTACGGGGTGCAGTAGGTGCGAGTGCACTCCCAGGTTCAGCTTAAGGTCAAACGCCTGCTCCCGCACCGCACCGTGGGCTTGCTGGACGAGAGGAGAGGAGCGTCTGGGGGAGGGAGGGGGGGAAGGGTAGGTACGGAATTTGGGCGGGGAGAGGGGGATGGTAAATGACGAGCTGAAGTTACACGATTCTTGAAACTCTATCGAAGAAGCAAGGAAGACGATGCACAAGGTTTGAGACGTCTCAAAACTCTATCGAAGAAGCAAGGAAGACGATGCACGAGGTTACATGCACCGGCACTCACTCACAGGAATCTTTGCTTGTTGAACGAGACGGTGCAAGGAAGGTCACGGAAGGGCACAAACGGTAGGCAGAGAGCACTCACATGCATCATGCATGGCAGGACACTCACATGCATCATGGAGAGCGCGAGGGGCGCTGCAGAGCGAGGGTCCACAAGGTACCTGCAGGCGGGATGCGGGGCAGGGGTTGAGGTGACGGCATGGCAGCGGGTGAATCTCGAGAGGTGGTGAGTCACATAGCTTGCGGAGACACGCAGAGCGCATTTGAGAAAAACGAACGGCATAGCGGCAGGTGCAGCAGGTGCAACATGCCTCTCCACAAGCAGATAGGTGGGAGTGGTTCCACGGGGTTAGAGAAACCAGCAGGGTGCGTGCCATGCGCCAGACAGGGGGGAGGAGGTGCACTGTTCCCAACAGATGGCTGTTCCCTTCCCACGCCCACCCCCACCGCCTTCACCTCCCCCGCTCCCCCCTCTCTCTCCCCCCCTCCCCCCCTCTCGCCTCCTCCCCCGCTCCCCTCTCCCCCGCTCACATGTCAATGAGCATCTTGATGAGCACGGACGCGGCAACATCAGCAGCGTCCACCTGCGGCACCATGTGGTGCGCGGGGGACGAGAGGCGCGCGGATCCGTGTGCGCCCGCGCCCCCTGCGCCCCCTGCTGCTGCGGTGGCCGCCACGGAGCACACGGCTGCCATCACCTCCTCCATCTCGCCCTCGCTCAGCCGCAGCGGCTGCTGCTCGCTGCCGGGGGGGGAGGAGGGGGTGTGTCGGGGGGGTCGGGAAAGGGGGATGTGGGGGAGGGGGGGAGGGGGGGAAGAGGGGAGGGGGAGGGGGAGAGGGAGGGGGAGAGGGAGGGGGAGAGGGAGGGGGAGGGGGAGGGGGGAGGGTGGGAGGGGGGGCGAGCGAAGGAGTTGGCTTTTGAGTCGACTGAGTAGCCACACTCCCACCTTGCCATCGTTCAGCCGCTGATGCTCGCTGCATGGGAGGGGAGAGGATGTTGGAAGAACGTGAATAGCAAAAGGAGGAAGGGGCAGAAGAAGGGGAAGCAAGATGGGAGGAGGGTTGAGGATATGGAGGGAGGGGGCAGAAGTGGGGTGGGAGAGTAGTGTGGAAAGGGGGGAACGGAGAGGTATCAGAGCAAGGATGGAGCATAGAAATGATCGGATGAGGCGGCATATGCGATCAAGAGGCGGGGGAGCTAAAGAGGTGGCATATGATATGGCATCGTTGGCAGTGCATCGCATCCACTCTTCCGCCACTGGTCATCCAATCCACAGGGACTCACAGGCATCCATGGCACACACACACACCTGTAGTAGCGGTATTGGAAGAGCGGGCGGCGGCGCTTCATGGAACTCTGCAGCCCGTCTCCTGCCGCACCCCTGCCAGCGGGCACACGCACACGCACAGGCACACGCACACGCACACGCACATGCACACGCACAGAAAGCACACAGCAACATGGTTACATGGGTGAGGAGGCGAGCCTGGCATCGGGCAAACACGGAGTAACAAGATGGGAGCTCTGCTTGTTGCTCCACCGTTTGAGTCAACTCAAAAGTCGAGTCGACTCAGAAGTGACCTTTGCGTCGACACAAAAGCTATCACATCCTTCTGCCCAAGCATGTTGCCTGCCTCGCCCCACCACCCATCTGACTGACAGTCCCACCAGCAGCAGCTCACGCTCAAGTCTCAGTGCCTCAGAACACAACATAACCCACACCGCAAAGCCCACACACACCACAGTCACGCGTGGGCCACCATACGCTACACCTCGCATGAACCCACAGGAGCTTCACGCAGTGCAGCGGGCAGTGCACCTCACATGACTGGACCCACGCACACACCGCACTCACGCGAGCCCACTCACGCACACTCAGCACTCACGTGGGGTCGGCTTTGAGGCGCTTGGTGATGGTGATATGGCGGATGTGGTTGCGCACGAGCACGGGGTCCACGGTACGCACAGAGAGCGCACAGCAACAGGAGTGAGGCGAGCTCCACTCCCTGCTTGTGGCACGCTGCTTCGGGGCACTCTCCCCACCCACAAACACACACACGTGCGGTCCAGTCCACCTCTCACAAATGAACCCACCCACCCACCCACCCACACTCCAACACTCCCACACTCAGCACTCACGTGGGGTCGGCCTTGAGGCGCTTGGTGATGGTGATGTGGCGGATGTGGTTGCGCACGAGCACCGGGTCCACGGTACGCACAGAGAGCGCACAGCAACAGGAGTGAGGCGAGCTCCACTCCCTGCTTGTGGCACGCTGCTTCGGGGCACTCTCCCCACCTACAAACACACACACGTGCGGTCCAGTCCACCTCTCACAAATGAACCCACCCACCCACCCACCCACACTCCAACACTCCCACACTCAGCACTCACGTGGGGTCGGCCTTGAGGCGCTTGGTGATGGTGATATGGCGGATGTGGTTGCGCACGAGCACCGGGTCAACGGTGCCAGTGACGGTGTCGAAGTGCAGCAGGTCGGGGCTGCCCTCCGCCTCCAGCTGCACCACATGCACGCCCAGCAGCACCGCCGCTGCACTGCCGTCCGCTACTGTGCGCAGGGGCTCCAGGTGGGGTAGGTCTGATGGGGCTCGCGGGGGGGGGTACGCACTGGTGCCGGGTGGGGGATGTAGGGGGGAGGGCCGGGAGGGGGATGGGGGCGATTGGGTGGGAGGGGAAAGGGGTGAGTTTGGGTGGGGGGAGCATGGCTTTTGAGTGGAGGTGAAAGAGCACGGGGTCCATGATGCCGATGACAGCAGGTCCACAGGTTCCAAGTGCAGCAGGTCGGGGCTGCCCTCCGCCTCCAGCTGCACCACGTGCACGTCCAGCAGCACTGCTGCAGCGCTCCCGTCCGCCACCGTGCGTAAAGGTTCCAGGTGGGGTAAGTCTGATGGGGCTCGCGGCGGGGGGTATGCGCTGGTGCGGGGAGAGGGGATGCGGGGTGGTGCGTGGGGGGAGTTTGGATGCGTAGGGACAGGGAGCGGGTGGACGGGACGGCAGCAGGCACGATGGGAGTGAGGAGCGTTGAGGGAGACAATGTGATGGGTGGAGTGGAAGGGGGAGGGGCAACGGTGGGGAAGAAAGCAAGCAAGCAAGGATAGAGCAAGGAACGTGGAGATGGGGCAAGGGTGCTGAGCTGATGTGCAGTGCAGTGCAATGCAATGGCCAGATCTCCTGCATGCGTGTTACTTCACAGACACACACTCGTCCCCCCACCACCCATTTCTCCCCCCACGCCCACCCACACGACCACTCTTCTCCCCCATCCACCCCTCGCCTCTCCTCCCCTCTCTCCTCAACCCTCCCCCCTCTCCTCGCCCTTCCCCTCCCCTCCCTTTACGCACACATAGCTGGCGATTGCCGAGGGAGCCCATCCCCTGCTGCGGCTGATCCACCGCACTCTCAGCATGTCCATGGGCGCGTACTGCCCCGCCGCCACGCCCCCCTCCTGCCCGGGAATCAGCCTCGCCATCGCCATCGCCGTCGCCTGCGCCGCCTCCCTATCCGCCGCACTCGCCCGCTTCAGCGCCGCGCTCGCCCCCCCCCCCACGCCCACCGCGCCCCCCCCATCCACCGCCAGCGGCGCCACTCGCGACGGCGTCCTCGGTCCCCCCACCCCCGCCGCTCCCCCCACCCCCAGCCCCCCTCCCCCGGCTCCTCCTGCTGTCATCCCCCCATCCGCCGCCCGCGCCGAGCGCATGAGGTGCGCGGGAAGGTTCCGGGCAACTACGGCGCGGACGTAGAGGAGGGATTTGATGAGAGCCGGGCCGGACTCGGCGGTGGGGCCGTCGGCGCCGGCGGCAGCGGCGGCGGCGTTGCCGAGGCGGTGGCGGGCGGCCTGCGCTGCCTTGAGCTCCGCTATGACGTCCGCACAGAAGCCGTCTATGTGCTCCAGCGTTGATATCGCTGGGCCGTAGCTGTGGGGAGGGGGGGGGGACGGGAAGGGGGGAAGGTGGAGGGGGGAGGGAGGAGGTGGCATGGGGGAATTCTAAGTTGATTCGAACATCCGCTATCACGTCCGCACAGAAGCCGTCTATGTGCTCCAACGTTGATATCGCCGGGCCGTAGCTGCAGGGCAGGGGGCAGGGAAGAGGGGGGAAGGGGGAGGGAGGAGGGGGGAGGGGGGAGGGAGGAGGGGGGAGGGGGTATGGGGGTCTTTTGATTCGATTCGAAAATCTGCTATGACGACCGCATAGGAGCCGTCTTTGTGCTCCACTCTTGAAATCGCCGGGCCATAGCTGCAGAGTGAAGGGAGGGGAGGGGGCATGAGGTCGGGCACGGGGGGGGCATGAGGGGGGTGTGGCGGCGAGGGGCATATGGGAGAGTGGCGGGTGGGGAAGGGGGGTTAGCAGGGGGTAGGGATGGGAGAAACGGGGGCTGGGGTTTGTAAGGTTGGGGAGAAAGGAGGGAGGAAGCAGGGTAGGGGAAGACACACAGATGCGCGGACGAAAAGAGCATGTAGCTGTTGCCCGCGTGCGCGCGAGCGAGGAAAAGGAGAATATGAGATGATGATAATGAAAAGGCGAGAATAGGAGAAGGCGAGACGATGAGGAAGGGTGGGTGAGGAGAGGAGAGTGGTACCGGAAGAGGTACTTCTTGAGCAGCGCCACGACCTTCATGATCACATGGGGACTGCATGCACGGGGCAGGACAGGGAAGCACAGACACATGGCACAGCACACAGGGCAGCACGGGGCAGCAGCACGGGGCAGCACGGACACATGAAAATCAGACTTTGGTTGAGATGGCACAACCGCAGGTGCAGTGGATTGGGGCAGCAGCAGGGGCGCATGGCACAGGGAACAGAAAGCAGCGTGATGTGGGGAGGGGGGGGGGGGGTGTGAGTGAAAGGAGGGGCCCTGGCAGGCAGGGCAGCAAGCTCTTGTGTTGCAGCAGGGAGCCATGCATTGCAACTGCTGAGCGGGGTGTGGCATGGTATGGCATGGCATGGCATGGTATGGTACGGTACGGTACGTACGGCATGGTACGGCATGGTACGGCATGGCATGGCATGGCATGGCATGGCATAGTATGGCATGGTATGGCATGGCATGGCATGGCATGGCATGGCATGGCATGGCATGGCATGGCATGGCATGGCATGGCATGGCATGGTATTGTATGGTATGGTATGGTATGGTATGGCATGGCATGGCATGGCATGGCATGGCATGGCATGGCATGGCATGGCATGGCATGGCATGGCATGGCATGGCATGGCATGGCATGGTATGGTATGTATGGTATGGTATGGTATGGTATGGTATGGTATGGTATGGTATGGTATGGTATGGTATGGTATGGTATGGTATGGTATGGTATGGTATGGTATGGTATGGATGCCATGCCAGCGACTCCCATACCAGCCAGCCCCACCGACCCACCACCAGCGGGCCATGCCTGCCTGCCACTCCCCCTTCCCCTTTTCCCCTTTCCCCCTTCCCCCTGGCCCCTTCCCCCTGCCCCCTGTGCCGTGCGGTTGCCCCACCTGCGGCCCTTCTCGACCATGGCGTGGTCCAGCAGTGCGTTGTACGCCATGTCCACTGTTGCTGCATCGCCCAGGTAGTCCTGGTGGGGGGGAGACGGGCGCAGAGGTGCAGCACGCAGGGCACGGGGCATACGGTGTGGCAGGAGGAGGGTGGAGGGTGGAGGGTGGAGGGTGGAGGGTGGAGGGTGGAGGGTGGAGGGTGGAGGATGGAGGGTGGAGGGTGGAGGGTGGAGGATGGAGGGCAGAGGGCAGAGAGGGCGGTGACAGGAGAGAAAAGGGAGAGTTTAAGGAAAGAGGAGTGAAGCGTGGTAAGGGGAGGGAGGGCAGGTGGGTGAGGCGGGACCAAGGGGAGCGAAGGAGGGAGAGATGGAGGGAGGGGAACGGGAGGGAGGGGGAACAGCAGGGGGGGTTTTGAGAGAATGAAGCAAAAAGAGGGCAGGGAGGGGCGAAGCGGGAAGGGGGAAATAAAGTGAGGGAGGGGGAGACGAGCGATTAATTGGTGACGTATAATGAGAGGACGAGGGAGTGAAAAGGGGTAAAAAGACGGTGGCGCGGAGGGAAAGAGGGCGGAGGGAGGGAGGGAGGGAGGGAGGGAGGGAGGGAGGGAGGGAGAGAGGGAGGGAGGGAGGGAGGGAGGGAGGGAGGGAGGGCGGTAGGGAGGGTTAAGAAGAGGGAAAGCAGAGCGGTTGAGAGGGGAAGGGAGGAAGAGAAGCAAGGCATGGGCATGCATGGTAGCGGAGTTAGTTGGGTTGGGATGGCGAGGGGGCAACGAGGTGCATGGGGACGGGGCAGATTGCGCCTTCCACCGCCCAACTCTCCACCCACAAGCGGCTTCGGTATACCTCCCTCCCTTTGCGCCATCCGCGCCCAGCCCACACGCCTGGTCGCCCCGCAACGTCTCCGCGCACGCGCCAGCCCGCCCTATATCCGTCCGCGCAGCCAGCCCGCGGAACCCCACCCCGCCCGCGCAGCCTCCGCCACGCATGTTAGCTGCCCGTCGTTGCGTCCATCGGCGAAATCCCATCCGCGCCCTCAACCCCCTCCCCTCCCCTCCCCCCTTGTCCGCGCGCCCTTAATCGCCTGCAGCTCGTCACCCACACGCGCGCGGCACTCCGCGCGCCATGGCCCCGCCCTACATGCGCGCAGCGCACCGAGCGGCGCATGTGCCCCCGCCAGCACTCCTGCACCTTTTACGAGGTCGATCGTCAACATTCCAGCGGCTACCACCCCCCCACCCCTCTTCCCCCCCCCCTACCCACCCATCCCCCGACCCTTCTTCCGGCCTAACCAACATTCCCCCACTTTCCCTCCCACCCAGTCTTATTCAAACCTTCTGTCCCCACTCTCTCTCTCTTTCCCCCTCCCCCCCCCCCCCCCCCCCCCCCCCCCCCCCCCCCCCCCCCCCCCCCCCCCCCCCCCCCCCCCCCCCCCCCCCCCCCCCCCCCCCCCCCCCCCCCCCCCCCCCCCCCCCCCCCCCCCCCCCCCTCCTCCACCCGCCTTAACCCTTCCCCACTCCCCCCCTTCCCCCCGTTCCCCCCTCCCAGCCCGCCTCCTCCGCGCGCGCGCCTCACCTCTAGCGTGCGGACGGGGTGGCAAGCCGCCGTCTCCAGCGGCGCCGCATGCGGCTGCGTGCACTCCGCGATCGCGCGGCGCAGCGGCTCGGGCACCTTGCGGCTGCGCTGCTGCCGGCGCGACGGCTCCCGCGACAGAATGGGCCGCGCCGGCCGCGGGCCGCGCTCCATGGCTGCCGGCGCCAGGACGGCCGGCCAGACGGCGACCAATCAGAGTAAACCGCGAGACGCAACAGAAATCAATCTAATCTGACCCTATGACAGGTAAAACCTAATGTCACGATTGCAATGGCGGCGGGTTGCGACAGAGCGGTACGCGGGACGTACGGCCTAAGAGACGGCCCATCATTACGGCTCCGTTGCGGACTGGTCGCATAAACGGGGGTGTCCCGTGGAATAAGTCGAATGCTAGCTCGGCAGTGCGAGTTGCGTGGGCTGGTTGGTCGGCCGAGGGACGAAAAGGACAAAATCGTACTCCGATAGTACCGTACAGCGCTTCTCCGTCTGGACCACGATTATGACAACTTCGGACCTGATAAGATGGAATACACCATTCTAGTCACATTCTATATGAAACACATATCCCAATGCAAAACATGCAAAATCTATCTGGAAATTGTTTCAGAAAATGCACCCAATACACGTGTATTATAAATGCACCCAAAGTCGTACATGTGCATCCTCAACATTTTCAACTACGTTCTAGATGATTGGTATGTGCACTAGTTTACAACTATTCACAAAGCAATACATGCCTTAAAGCCTTGTTCCAGTGCTGATGTGTTGAGGGACTTCCCTGAAAGGAAAAGTTGGGAAATAACTCAAAAGTGAAATGGCTGGTGAAACTGAACTGCAATCAAGCACAAAAGCCAACTTGCCTTGTAACCTAATAAACAAGCAATCCAGCAAGTGCTCGTACCGTACCATAACATGGAGTGCGCACGGCGTGGGAAGCACGTGGTTAAAAAATGCACGTAGCTCAGCAGGAAGGGGCATGGCACGTACCGACAACGAGGACTCGGTTGAGGCGGTCCTCCCCGGCAGGCCATGGCAGCGCTGGCAGCACCTCATACAGCTCCCGCACCGCCTGGCCATGCATGGGACCATGGGGCGGTGGGGTCACAGGTTGATGGGGTCATGGCGTGATGTGGCCATGGGGTGATGGGGCCATGGGGTGATGGGGTCAAGGGGTGATGGGGTCACGGAGTGACGTGGTGATAAAGTGATGAGGTCACGGAGTCATGTGGCCATGCGGGTCATGGGATTCGGCAGCAGGCAGCCGTATGAGGCCAGCACAGATTCACAGATGCACAGCACAGGCTCAGATCAGAGATGGTACCTGGAAGACGTGCACGAGGGGGCTCCCATGGACGTGCATGGCACCCTTCATGCGGTAGATGTCCCCGTACTGTGACGCCCCCTCCCATAGCACCGCGCCCAACCACTCATCCACCTGCCACACACGGCAGCAGACACGGAGAGGGGCGGAAGGGAGAGATGTAAGAGGAGGGTGCACATTGGTGTGGAAACAAGGGGGTTGTGAAGTACCCATGTTACAACAGCAAGCCCTGCCAGTTTGCACATGGGCTTCCAGCGCGTCACAACGGACGGCTGCTCGAATGGACGGCACAAGTGGCAGTCAAGCACAGAATATGCGGCTTCTGAAACACTGTGACTTGTGAACCCGCAGTGCTTTCTGAAATGTGGCGAGAGGCAGCATCCGCATGGATTACAGGACGCAGGCGTGGAGGAGGAGAGGAGGAGCGTGGCGCACCTTGTGCAGGTGGAAGGTGAAGGAGAGTGGCGGCATTTGCATGGGTCACGGGACCAGCGTGGAGGAGCGCACATACCTTGTGCAGGTGGACAGCGCCCGAGCAGGTGAAGGAGAAGGTGGAGATGGAGGCGTGGGTGCGAGGCACGGCCGGGGCCGTGTGCTCATGACTGTGGGGCTGCTGTGCTGCGTGTGCCCCTGGGGATGCTTCTGCTGGTGGCGCCGCTGGTGGTGGTGTTGCAGGTATGTGGTGCTTCATTGCTTGGAGGATGTCGTGGCCTCTCTGCATGCCATGTAGCAACACACAGGAGTGTTGCACATGCCACACATGTTACATGTGCCACACATGCCACACGTGCCACACATACCATGCAGCAGTATACAGGTAGCGATTGGCAAAAAGAACACAGATGGGGAGGGAGAGAGGTGGGAGAGTGAGGGGGGGAGGCTGTGGAAGGGAAGTGGGTTGGAGAGAGAAAGGGGGAAGGGGAAGATATGGTGCGGGTTGGGAGGGTGTGTAGGGAGAAACGTCACAACACTTTCAATTAGGGCCTTGGACAGAGCGGACGCAGAGGCGATCAGATATTTAATTAAAACACAGTTGCTTGCCGTGGTGCTCACGAACACACCAGAGGCGCCAAAGCCGCAGCTGTGGCCATGTGGAATGAATGACACTGTGGTTGTGGTTCATGTCCACGATTCGAGTCTGGAAGTAATCTGGTGCAAGTCTTGACGCGCCCCTTGAGGTGACTTTCCCAAGCTCTTTGAAAGCAACTCAATGTTCACATTTCTAGCCGATACTTTGTGGTGCCTCCAACTCAAACATCGCCTCTTGTCTCTCGGATTTTGGGCATGTGAACAGGGAGCATGGGTCCAGCCCAGCCCATACCGCCAAGCACAACACGTGGCCTGCCCTGCTGTATAGCACTGATATGGTCACATGCCCACACACAGACTCCCACACATGCGAACTTACAAATCTGTCTTACAGCCAGCCACTCAAGAGTGATCACAAGCACCTGAGCGCTGTAGAGGCCGCGGTTGAGCAGAGCACGCACGTCCACCTGTGAGCGCACTGCCGTCACCACCTCTGCTCCCGCATTGATGCCCCGCACTGCCTCCACCACCTCCCTCGCTGCTGCCCCCCTCGCAGCCGTCTCCCTCCCCGTGTCTCCCTCAGTGCCTGCTGCATCGTCTGGGCTCGCCTGGGAGTGCGTGGCTGCGGGCAGCAGGTCGAGCTTGTTCACTATCACCACGTCCTGCCATGCCGCATGCACAGCACGGAGGGGTTGGAGGAGCCGCGGCGAGGGAGAATGTGGTGCCGCAAAACGCAGAATGTGGGAGACACGGAAAAACGCAGGGAGCAGCAGGGGGGGACGTAGTGGGAGGGAAGCAGGGGGGAGGGAGAAGAAGTAAGGGCAAGGGGTTGCGGGTAGTGTGAGGCAATGGAGGGAACTCTAGTGGAAGAAAATGGGGAATTAGAGAGGCCCACTCACAGCCCGCCCACTCACACCACACCCACTCACACCACACCCACCCACTCACAGCATACGCGATTTGCTGCAGCAGAACATCCTCCACCCCCTGCTCCTCCGCCCTCTCCTCCGCCCCATGCGCCCCCACTGACTGTTGCTCCCCACCCAGCCCCGGCTCCTCGCCTGCATCCCCCTCCCGCTCCCCCACCCGCTCCTGCGAGCTAGCCGGGTGCGTTTGGGCCGCAGGAGGGTTGTTGGAGTGATTGTGGGCGGGGGGGGACAGGCAGCGCTGGAAGTTGCGCGCGTCCACTAGCTGGGGGAATCGCAGAGGTGCAAAGGGGTGCAGAGGGGCGTGGTGGGTGTGATGGGTTGTGGTGGCGTGGGGTGTGGTGGGGTGTGGTGGGGAGCGTAGGTTGAGATGGCAGTAAGGAACGGATTGGGCGGGTTGATGGGACGATGGGCAGCAGTGGTGGTGGCATGGTTTTCTCACAGACTGTATCTCCCACAGAGCATGGGCAGGACAGCATGGAGGGAGGGAGTGATTGCAGTGTGGGTGCGCGGGAGAGGAGGCATGGAGGTGGCAACAAGACTGAGCGACGGGCGGGAGGGTTGCACGAGGAACGACAAGACATGGAGGGAAGGGACGACGTGGGGATGCCAAGGCATGGGGTGAGGGAGGGGAAGGGAACTTTAGGATGAAGGGAAGGGAAGGGATAATAGGATGAAGAGAGGTGAATGGGGAGTGACAGAAAGAAGCAGCAAGGTGGGATGTTGGAGGGGGAGAAGCAGACACAAGGAGAGGATATGCGCGGGATGAGGGGAGCGAGGGCACGAGAGGGCAGCGAACGAGAGAGGCCAGGAACGAAATGGGAGGGCACAGACGGGCAAGGGAAGAAATGAGAGGGCATGGGAGGGCATGGGAGGGCATGGGAGGGCATGGGAGGAGCGCGAGCGAGGGAGAGGGTGAGGTGGAGACAGTGATGAGGGCGTCGAGGCGGATGGAGGCTTCAAGCGCATCGTCCATCCACAGCATGGCGACTATGGGCGCTGGATCCGCCAACCCCGTGGTCTCCAATAACACGTAGTCAAACCTGTGATGAGAGGCGCCATGCACGCACGCATGGCCACATGCACACCCGCATTGATGCATGCACACATGTCCACATGCACACATGCACACCATCCATGCACGCATGTCCATATGCACGTACACCCAGCCGCATTCACGTAGGCACGCATACAAGCATGCACGCATTCGTGCTGCCACACTTGCATGCACGTATGCCCCCGTCTCCGATCCCTTTCCTAGCCAAATCCGATACAACCATGCATATATGCGCTCAGATGCTTGCACGGACACACATGAATGCACGCACACAAACAGCACACATATGCCCCCCCCTCCCCTCCACACACACACAAAACAACCATACACAACCATCACACAGACACATAAAATACAGATAGAACACACTGTTAAGTCCCGGATTGGCAAATGCAAAAAAGCAGACACAGGAGGACGGACAGGTGACATGACACACGGTGTGATGCTCGTATGCGTCGCTTGCATCGCCACCTTCCGCGGACTGGTCCAACCAAACGGCGGTCATATTGGAACGGGAGGGGAGGGGAGGGGAGGGGAGGGGAGGGGAGTAGAGGGGAGGGGAGTAGAGGGGGGGGAGTAGAGGGGGGGGGGAGTGGAGGGGAGGGGAGTGGAGGGGAGGGGAGGGGAGGGGAGGGGAGGGGAGGGGAGTGGAGGGGAGGGGAGGGGAGGGGAGGGGAGGGGAGGGGAGGGGAGGGGAGGGGAGTGGAGGGGAGGGGAGGGGAGTGGAGGGGAGGGGAGGGGAGGGGAGGGGAGTGGAGGGGAGGGGAGGGGAGGGGAGGGGAGGGGAGGGGAGTGGAGGGGAGGGGAGGGGAGTGGAGGGGAGGGGAGGGGAGGGGAGGGGAGGGGAGTGGAGGGGAGGAGAGAGGACTGGTAAGAAAGTCGGTCGGATGCAAAGCAGATGCAGCAGCAGGGGCGGAGGGTGGGGAGAGTTCAGCTTCGCCTTTCATCAGCCACTGGCAGGCCCATGCCATGCCATGCATGCTGCATGCACATACGCACATGCACACGTGAATGCACACATGCATGCGCATGGCGGCTCTGTGCCTCATGGGCACACATGGCATGGCCATGGCCGACAGCCATGTACCATGCCCCGTGCCCCGCTTTCATCATCATCACTCCCCCATGATGTGCCATGGCATGAAATGACACGGCAAGCCCCATAAGTCAATCAAAGTGGCACAAAATATCTTACGTTCGAAAGGTTCAAGTTACAGAGTGGCACAAGTTACCCAGATTGTATGAAAAAAAAGGCATCAGTGGCAGCAGCAAGGCCATGCCCAGACCAGCGCCGTGTCACACCTTTCTTCACCCATCTCAGCCGCTCTGCATACCATCACAACCACCCCATACCAACCGCACGACCCCTAAGCACATCGTTCGCACCTCCTCTGACTGCCATGCCTCACTGCCGAGCCTCACTGCCGAGCCTCACTGTCGAGCCTCACTGCCGAGTCTCACTGCCGAGCCTAGCCACATGCGGCCATGCCTCACATTCTCCTCCCTTCCACTGTCCACCCCCCAGCACAACGAGTGGTGGTCGTGACATGGCGCCACTGCTAATGCGCATTGCTGCAGCCGCTCTTGCTGCTGCTGCTATCACTGACACGGCCCCAATGGGACTGTGTCATATACCACGCCTCTTCATCCACTCGCCAGTAAGAGCGCGCACACACCAGCATGGCATGGCATGGCATGGCATGGCATGGCATGGTGTGGTGTGCAGTCTCACGGGCTTGTGTCAGACTTAAACTAATGAGATGTGGATCGATGTGCGGGGAGGGCGTGCAGGGGAGAGGAGCAAGGAGCATACAGCACACAAACAAGCGGACCGACAGGCACATGGGCACGCAGGCAGGCAGGGTGGCAAAGAGGCCGGCAACGTGCGAACAGGCAGGCAGGTTGGCGGGAGGCGTGTGCGAGGGCCGAGTGCAGGTGTGGTGGTGTGGTTGCTGAGTGGTAGGCAGCGTGGCACGCAGTGGGGAGTGGGAGAGGCGAGGGAGGGGCGGCACTGGTGGGCTGGCTTGCGCTCATTCATCATGTGCCCTGTGCTGCTGCAGTGCGGGTGGGGCGGGGGTGCTCTGGGCGCTACACACACGTGCTGCTGTGTTCCGCTGGTGCAGTGTGGTGCACTGTGGTGCATTGGGGGACGGAATACGGAAGTGACACGCGGCAACAAGCGGAGGAGGATGGAAGGCGCAGTGGAAAAGGCAACACACGGATGACACCACGGCACCAGAAATGGAAGAGCATCGGCGACTTGCAGCAATGCGTTTCAAGGCGTTTCAAGGCGCACATCAAAGCTCGTCTCGTTTCAAGTCACGGACGACGTCACGGCACGTCACAGCACTGTTGAGGGTGAGTGCGTGCATCAGCAACTTGCAGCAGCGCGTCGCTGATGCAATCCAAGTCGGACCGTCGGACGCCAGATGCAGGCATCGATCCAGCATGGCATGGCATGGCATGGCATTCAACTCCCATGCACCCACCCACCACCCAACCCAGCCATGCACCACCACCTATCACACACACACACACACACACCACCACCCCACCACCCACCACCCACCAAACACCCAACACCCAACCAAGCAGCCCTGGGGGCAGCAAGCAGCATTGCACGCACGCACCTATCTCGGCGGGTGAGCAGCTGTTCAAGCGCGAGCACGAAGGAGTGCTTGACGCTGCAGCAGATGCACCCGTTGCCCACCTCCACCCACTCCTCCACCACCGGCACCTCCGCCAACGCGCTCAACTGCTCCTCCCCATCCCCCTCGCCTTCTGCACCACCACCACCACCGCCACCAGCAGCAGCAGCAGCAGCGTTGGCGGAATCTCGAGCTGCTGTCCCCTGGCGCTCCCCCCCCTGCGCACGGCTGGGGTGCACGAGCGCCTTCTCGATGCCCAGGCGGTCGCCGAAGTCGTTGAGGATCACGGCGATGCGCAGCCCGTGCTTCTGCGACAGGATGTGGTTCACTAGCTGCTCGCCGCGCACAAGGGGTCGCTCCAAGGGGGTCATGGGCGGGATGGGAAACGGGCGGGATATGGGGCGCGAGGAAGCGAGAGCATCACACACACAGGCGGGTTGCATGCGCATCTCCTCTTATTATTGTCGCAGCCCCAGCTTCACACAGGAGGGAGTTATTGAAGCTGGGGCTGCGACAGAGGATACGGTTCGAGACGAATAAGAGGAGGAGGAACGGGTGAGAAGATAAGATGCCACACGAGTGAGACATAGATGGATGTATTCATACAAGCAGGAAGGGGGACCGAGAGGAGTGTGGGAAAGAACAGGAAGTGGGCGGGGGGAGTGGGTGTGGGGAGTGGGCGGGGGAGGGGAATGGAGGAGTGGAAGGGGGGGAATCGGAGAGGGCGCGGAAAGGGCGCGGAGAGGGCGCGGAGAGGGCGCGGAGAGGGCGCGGAGAGGGCACAGAAGGCACGGGAGGGCGCGGGGCCTTACGGTGGTCTTGCCGGCTCCCAGAAACCCCGTGATGATCGTAATCGGCACCGCATCGCGCGCGCTGCTCCCCGCGGGATCCTCCACGCCGCCAGCCTGCGATGCCACCCTCGGTTCTCCTTCCCCTTCCTCCTCTCGTCGCCTTGCGCCGTCCAGCCCCGCGGCAGCGCCCTTCTCCGCCTCCCCCTCCGCCTCCGCTTCTCTGCTCCCCGTCACGTCCGCGTCAAACCCGGGGAGCGGCACGGCGTCCGGAATCTCGTCGTCGTCGTCGCCGCCGTCGTCGTCGTCGTCGGCGGCAGCGGCGGCGGCGGCGACGCCATCATCCGCATCCACGGCACCTCGCGCGGAACCACCATCCTCCGCACTTCTCCCTTCCGCGGCTCTCCCCACCGCTCCGCCATCCTCGCCGTCGCGCCCCGCATCCAACCTGGAAACCGCCGCGCCGTCCGCCTCTCTCTCCTCCATGCCTCGGCTGTGAAATCCCTCCCCCCCCCCCCCTCGCTGTCAAACCTTCAAGAGCACTCGCATTCGCAGCGCAGCGCGGTGTCTGTTAGCGTGTGGCACGGTAACGCGAGGTATTTACTTTACTACAAGAGACACGCATACAAGAGGTATCAAAGAGTTGGGTACAAGTATGAAACCCTAAAAGGGGCTGTACCCCATGTTGGCTACCCCAATACAGCCTACACATATATAACATGCATATACTTTGACAATCTCATCCACTCACTCACACACCATCTTACCTAGCTGTCCCATATCCCACGAACCTCATCATTCATAAGCACACACCATCTTGTCTGTCCCATACCCCAAGGCTCTCATCCATTTGTACCTCCATCTTTCCTTCCTGACGTTTCCATAAGAAAAAATCGCTATTGCCATTGGAAATTGAAGAACAGGAGTATTCTGTCAAACATATATATTTGTATGTTCTAGGCTGTAGTGATGCATGCATTAGAGAGTATAGGTTGTTAGGGTTTGCATTTGTACCCACCACCTTTCTCAATCAACCATTCCGTTCTGCGTACTTCTTGAGATGGTATCACGCCTTAGGTTCGTTCCCTCGCCTCGCCTAGCCGAGCTCGCTCAGTCCGTGGCGCCTCACGCCCTAGGTTCCGCCCTCCCTCCTAGCCCGTTTCCGCGCGACCCTAGAGCCCGCGCCCTAACCTAGCGTGAGCCCACGCTCAGCCCGCGCCCAGCCCGCACCCTAGCCTAGCGTGCGCCCTGCCCCAGCCCGTAGCGTCGCCCGTGCGCCCTGCCCCAGCCCGTCGCGTCGCCCGTGCGCCGTGCCCTGGCCCGTCGCGTAGCCCTTGCGCCCTGCCCCAGCCCGTCGCTTAGCCCGTGCGCCCTGCCCCAGCCCGTCGCGTCGCCCGTGCAAAGCAACGCGCGCCCCTGCAGTGCAGCACGCGCCAACGTGCAGGGCAGCGCGCGCCCTAGCAGAGCAGCGTGCGCGACCCGGGCATAGCAGCGCGCGCCACCCGGGCATAGCAGAGTGCGCCACCTGGGCATAGCAGCGCGCGCCACCCGGGCATAGCAGCGCGCGCCCCTGCCCAGGAACGCGCACCCCAGCCAGGAACGCGCGCCCCTGGCCAGACATGCGCACCCCAGCCAGAAACGCGCCTCACGTACCTTCCTAGCTGCCCACACCTCCTCCTAGCCGCCCACACCTTCTCCTAGCCGCCCACACCTCCTCCTAGCCACCCACACCTCCTCCTAGCCGCCCACACCTCCTCCTAGCCACCCACACCTCCTCCTAGCCGCCCCCACCTCCTTCTAGCCGCCCACTGGCACCTCTTGCAGCGGCTGTCACCTCTAACGCACCACGGCCCGTAGCAGGCCGTTCTCGAGCTTTCTCACCGTCTGTTTTCCCATTCCCTACCGTTCCTTCACTGGGTTCACCGTTCCGCCGCGGCTGGAGGCCGCTACTCCTAGTCCTAGTTTCACCTGGCGCTCCTAGTTGTTCTCGCTCCGTGCTCCGGCCGTTCCTCGCCTAGTTTCACCTGGCGCTCCTAGTTTTTCTCGCTCCTCGCTCCAGCCGCTCCTCGAGCCCGTTGTTTCTAGCCTGACGTTTCTAGCTCCAGCCGTGTCTCACTCCAGCCGTTCCTGCTGCAGCCGGTTCTAGCTCACTTTGCTCCGTGCTCCGGTCGTTTCTCGCCTAGTTTCATCTGGCGCTCCTACCTGTCCTCACTCCTTGCTCCCAGTTCAGTTTACTCCGTGCTCCGGCCGTTCCTCGCCTAGTTTCACCTGGCGATCCTAGCTGTTCTCGCTCCTCGCTCCAGCCGCTCCTCGAGCCCGTAGTTTCTAGCTTGACGTTTCTCGCTCCGGCCGTGCCTCACTCCAGCCGTTCCTCGTTCCACTCGCTTCTAGCTCGGTTTGCTCTGTGCTCCGGCCGTTCCTCGCCTAGTTTCACCTGGCGCTCCTAGTTGTTCTCGCTCCTCGCTCCCAGCTCAGTTTGCTCCGTGCTCCGGCCGTTCCTCGCCTAGTTTCACCTGGCGCTCCTAGCCGTTCTCACTCCTCGCTCCTAGCTCCATTCGCTCTTAGCCTGCCGCTCCTGCACCCCGCTAGCCTTTAATATGGCGTCCACTAGAGTTCTCCAGCAGCAGGGACAGCAGCAACGGCAGTTTCAGCAGTGGGAACCTCAGCAGCAGTGGCGCCCTCAGCAGCAGTGGCACCCTCAGCAGCAGTAGCGCCCTCAGCAGCAGTGGCGCCCTCAGCAGCAGTGGCGCCCTCAGCAGCAGTGGCGCCCTCAGCAGCCGTGGGAGCCTGGTGGTTCGGGTAGCGTTGGCTGCAGCAGCGGCCAAGCCAGCTGGGGGGCTCATCACGGTGGCTGCGACGCCGGCCCCTACCAGTACCGGATTTGACTGGCCCTGGAGCTGGCACTACCTGCTGGCGTCCTGACCACTCTGCACAGCACTGCTACAGCCGCCTCGACGACTTATACCGTGAGCGTTTTGGGCCTGAGACGAGGCCACCGATCTGGCCCAGTCTGTCTCGTAGTGGTTACCATGTGTTTGATATGTCTATGGATACTGTTTATTCTGTCACGTATGGATCTCTTGGCTTGCGTGTACCTAGCTTAGGACCTTTGCCTGCTGCTAGTGTAGGTTCTTGTGCTTTTAGAATCGGTGCTTGTGTAGTCACTAGTCTAGCCGTGACGACTGCTGTCGCGTCGCTCTCCTTCACGCTGGACTCAGGCGCGTATGAGTGCTTCTTTCGCGACCACACCATTGTCACACCTCTTTCGGCTCCAGTCCTAATTGCCGTGGCTGATCCTACTTCAGGACCAGCAGTCGCTTGCAGCTCGACCACTCTCCCGTGCTCGGCTGTCCCTTCTGGTTTCCTCACTGGTCTCTACATCCCCTCGTTCTCTCGGAACTTGGTGGGTGTTGGATACATTCAGGACCGTGGGATCACAGTCACTTTTCCAGCGCTTGGGAGGACAGCGATCTGTACGGACGCTTCCACCGGGGCACTTCTTGCCACGTTCACCAGGGAGCCCCACTCAGGTCTCTTCGTTCTGCACACTGCGTCCCACCACGTAGCAGAGTCCGGCCACGTTACTGCGTCCCCCCAGGTAGCATAGTCCGGTCAGATTACTGCGTCCCCTCCAGTTGCTGTGTCTAGTCAGGTTGCTGCGTCTGGTCAGGTTGCTGCGTCTTGCTCCTGTCGATCTCTCGCCCACCCGACCGTCTTGTGGCACCACCGTCTTGACCACCCGTCGATCCCCCGCCTCCGCAGCATAGCTAGTCACCGTCTTGTCTCGGGTCTCCCTCGCGTCTTTGCGTCGCTCCCTCCCTCGCCTGCACCACCGTGCACTACCTCCGTCGCCGGCTGCCTGTGCGCCACTCCGCACTCCTCCTCCCTTCGTCCGGCCACAGCTCCCTTCCAGACTCTCCACTTGGACGTCTGGGGCCCTGCCCATACACAGGGACCTGAGAGGGAGCGCTACTTTCTGGTGGTCGTCGACGACTACTCCAGGTACACCACGGTGTTTCCTCTCGCGAAGAAGTCCAAGGTGACTTCTACGCTGATCCGGTGGCTTCTGGCCACTGAGGGCACTCGTGGAAGTCGTGTCTCCTGTCTCCACTCCGACCGTGGGGGCGAGTTTCGCTCCGGCATTCTTCGCGGATTCTGCGGCGAACAGGGCATCTCACAGTCCTGGAAGTTTCCGGAGTTCCCACAGCAGAATGGGGTTGCTGAGCGCCGCATTGGCTTGGTCATGGACATCGCCCGCACGTCCATGATACATGCCCGTGCGCCCCATTTTCTGTGGCCCTACGCGGTTCGCTACGCAGCCCACCAGCTGAACCTCCAGCCGCGTGTCTCGCGGCCAGAGGCTTCACCGACCAGTCTTTGGACCGATCCCCTGGTGTTGGGTCGGCCTTTCGTGTCTGGGGCTGCCTTGCGCTTGTCCGCGACACCTCTGCGGACAAGCTCTCGGCTCGCGCCATCCCCTGTGTCTTCCTTGGTTTCCGGGTGGACTCTCCCGACTACGCCTTTTACCACCCGCCCCTCCACCAGTTCCTAGACTCCCGTGACGTCCGGTTTGACGAGTCAGTGTCCTACTACCCTCGCTACCCCTGTCGAGGTCTCCCGGTTCCCCCTCCTCCCCTTTTCCTCGCACCCTCTCCTCCTCCTGCTCCCGCTCCTCCGATACCCCCGCCCCCCCCGGTCCTGCCCCGTCAGGTGTGTCTCACGCTACCCCTCTACCCTCGGTCGTGCGTCAGGTAGCGTCTCCCTCACCGCAATCTTCCTCGCAGTCCCCTCAGCAGCCTTCGGCACTTCCGCGACAGGTTAGTGTGGACTCCAGGGGTGTTGGAGCTGGAGGTGCTGCCACTGGAGGTACTCGTTCTGGGGGTGCTCTTTTGAGGGGTGCTGGAGCTGGAGGTGCTGGCAATGGAGGTGCTAGTTCGGGGGGTGCTGGAGCTGGAGGTGCTAGCGCTGGAGGTGCTGGCGCTGGAGGTGCTAGTTCTGGGGGTGCTGGAGCTGGAGGTGCTGGCGCTGGAGGTGCTAGCGCTGGATGTGCTAGTTCTGGGGGTGGTGGAGCTGGAGGTGCTGGCGCTGGAGGTGCTAGTTCTGGGGGTGCTGGAGCAGGAGGTACTGGCACTGGAGGTGCTAGTTCCGAGGAGACTGGAGCTGGAGGCACTACTACTGCGCCTCCCCACTGCCACGACACACGTCTCCAGGCGGCTCGCCGACGTGATCGTAAGGAGCAGGAGCGGTTGGAGCAGGAGAGGCAGGAGCTGCGGCAGTTGGACCTGCAGGAGCAGCAGGAGCACAGCAGCAGCAGCAGCGTTCGCCGCAGCCGCCACCTTTGCAGAAGCTGTTCCCACAAGTGAGTGGCCTTCGGGCCCTTGGTCTTCCCTCCGCTCCTCCTGTCCACTCACAGTCTCCTACCGCCTACGACCCTACGTTTCCTCCTCCGGACTCGGCTCCGGCTGTTTTCTCTCCTCCTCAGTCACAGTCGCCTCCTCCTGTTCTCCCGCACAACTGGACCACTCGTTGTCCTCCGTGTGCTCGTCCCTCGTCTCCTTTTGACGACCTCCGCACTGTCTTGTTTCGTTCTAGTCTTCGTCGTGCTCCGCCTGTGTCTATTCTCCCGCCACCTCCTGCGTCGTCTCTCACTGTTTCCTCTGCCACGTGGGCGTTCGACGAACGACGCGGGTGAAACTCAACCTTTGACAAGGCAGACGGGGGTACGGGGGTGCGTGGCACCCTGAATTCAATCGCGTTGTTGTGTCAGCTTAATCGCCGCGCTGATGCGCCTATCGGCGCGCTGTGGGCCTGCGATACCTGCAGCAGGGCTCATGGGAAGTAAGAGTTTGCTGGAGGAGCCAGGCCAGGAGGTGAAGGTATGGACAAGCCCACAAGCACAAGTGACAGAGGGGCCTTCAAAGCCCTGATTCTCGCTGCTCTCATCCGCGTTTGTGGAACATCGTACAGGCTTAAAATATGAAAGTAGCTAAACAAGGCTATGGCATATATGCGGAAACTAAGAACGGCTAATGAGCCTCAGTCACCCATGCAACCGTTTAGCTGCCTCAATACAGGACTTACGGTACATGGGGATTCTTGCCACAATAAATAATTAACTTCCGTAGCAACATCCTCAATACATGACTGGGAGATTTGTCCCTGAACAAAACAAACTCCTTCCCACCCGCCCCCTGCTCCCTAAGCACAGTTGCGAGATCTGAATTGTTGAATGCACAAAAAAGGGCTGCACGGCACGACCTGTCTGTCAGAAACTCTTCGCACGACTTATTAGTATCTGTCGCGCCAGAAACTAATGTTGCAGCTGGTGTGATGTGAATGCCCACCACACCAGTCACGTAACAGACACATTCCTCAGCAACTCCTTATCGGTGCCACCCACCTATCATGGCATGGCACTCCAGCATGGGATGCGATGGGACTCCCATCCGTGTTCTTTCCACTCCCACCCTACAACCTCGGCCACGCCAACCCTGTGTCCAGTCAAACCCACATCACCGTGCCCTTCCTCCCTCCAACCGCCCACACACGACACGAAAAGAGTCTGCACTTCAGCTTTTCAAAGCTCAGCACCAACACCTTGGGTTCACCATCACTCGCTGCTCATCCCCACACCCCACCAAAGCTCAAGAAACACCCAACGACGTGCCTATATCGAGTCAGCTTTTAGATACACCTCAGAGGCTCAGACCTCGTACCCCGGGTTAACCACCTGCTGCACGTCCCCATACCCCACCAGCTCATCAATATCCTCGGGACTGCCCAGGAACAGAGGCAGGCGCTCGTGCAGCTTCCCCGACGGCTCGATATCCAGAATCCTCCTCACGCCATCGCTGCCCTTCCCGCCAGCCTGCTCCGCGAGGAAGGCGAGTGGGTTGGCTTCGTACAGCAGGCGCAGGTGCGAGCGGGGGTTCATGGCAACGCCGCCGTAGAGCAGTGTGCGGTGGAAGTCGCCTACGAGCGAGCAGATGTAGCGCGCTGAGTACTTTTTGCCTGACTGCCCCTTGCCCTGCCGGATGGCATCGATGTATTGCCGCAGCCCGGCTGGCCAGTCAAAGTAGCGCGCGTCGTTCACTGAGTAGATTTGGCCTGAGGGGACGGGAACGGGGGAGAGGGGAGTGAGGAAGGGGGTTTGGTACATGTGTGATGATGTCTCTCTGCGAGGTGACTGTTGAGTGGTGACTGTGTGAGGTGAGATGGAGCACAAAGCTGGAGCACATGGAGGACTGGGTGGGGAAACACGAGGGAAGGGAAAGCAGAGCGTGTGGTGAGTCCAGAGCAGCATTGAGAAACTTGTGGTGGAAGTAACTCAGGGACGAATGCCACAAGCAGACATCATCAGCAGTGGATTACACCCACCAGCACAGCTCTGCTCGCTTGCATATGTGTGCATGGGTGTGCATGAGCTGCCATGTCCGCTTCCCCATCTTTCTCTTGCAGATATGCGTGCAACCCCCCCTTCCCCCCCCCCCCTCCCTCCCTTACCTCTCCCTTCCTCATACGCACAAGCACACGCACACTCACACACTCTCTCCTTCTCTCTCACACACAGACTGGCGCACCTCGAGGGGGGATGCGCATGTCGCGGGCAGTGAGCAGCCACTCGCCCGTGCTCTCATCCAGCGTGAACGCATGCGTGCCTTGCCCCACCGTCAGCACCGCCACCACCGCAGACGAGTACAGCACATACCCGCTCGCCACCAGCTCCCGCCCCGGCTGCAGCACCGCAGCACCCGCAGAGGAAGCAGGAGCGTCAGCAGCAGCAGCAGCAGAAGGAGAGGCAGCAGAAGGTGGGGAGCGGTAGAGGCCCCAGATGGTGCCGGTGGGGATGCCAGCGTCGATGTTCCTGCTGCCGTCCAGTGGGTCGAACACGGCAGCGTACGGCGCGCCTGCTGTGAGCTCCACCACCTCGTTGTCCTCCTCTGATGCTGCCACTGAGACCAGCCGCGATGCCGCCAGCGTCGCCTTGATGATGTCGTTCTGGGGACGAGTTGGGCGTGGAGTGGGGAACGGGTGGGATGGGGAATGAGAGAGTGGGTGGGTGGAGTGGTGGGAGAGTCGGGATGGGAGACGGAGAGAAAGGGGACGGGGAAGGTTGGGAAGAAAGCAGATGGTGGCAACGAATAAGGGTGGTGAGTATTAGGGGCGGGAGGAAGAGCCTTTGAGGGGTGCGGTGCGAGATCTTTCTCCAGCATCGCGGCTAGAGGAGTTAGCGTACTAGAGGAATCGACTTATTCGTCGCGACTAGAGAAACCGGCGTACGTAATGCCACGATCTCATAGCGCTCATCATAATCACAGTCACTCAACGTTTCGCGCTCTTCACGCCAGCGCCCTTACCGCTTCATACCGCTCGCGACCACCGCTGCGTCAAGGGAAACAAGCCCTTACCGACACAATGTCGAGCGGCTTCTGCGCGTCGCCCGACTCGTTCTTGCTGCCGCTCACGCCGCTCAACCTCGCTCCCATGGCGGTCTCGATGTTGAGCCGGCTCACGGTGACGGCGATGCGCTTCATCGCGTCGTGCAGCGTCAGCAGCAGCAGCACCAGATCGCTGTCGACTCCTCCCTCGCTCGCGCCCTTCGCGCTGCCGTCGTCGCCGGCGGGCGCCGCCATGGATTTCATGAGGAACTCCTGCAGCGACGGAAGCGACGGCCTGACGACGACCGTCGCATCGCCCGCCTGCGACTGTACGACTTGCATGGCGGGGGAATGTCTGCGAAGAGGCAAAAGCGATGGCGACTTGCGCGGAAGCAGCGGGCGGAAGGGCGCAGGGGAGGAACGGCGGAGATGGAGGGGCTGTGAGGTGGGGTAATGGGAGTGTGCGAGAGCGGTGCGCTGGGATGCCCGAGAGAGTCCAAGCGTGCGGAGGAGAGGCGAGTGCGACACAGAGCAGAGCGAGACGAGCATCGTGGGAAGGGAACGATATTCAGAGCTCGACTGCCAGCGGAGGAAGTGGCGATAAACGTGGGAAACTGGCAAGCAGATAAGGAATGCGGGATTCGCTGAAATGTAGGGAGGAGAGTGAGTGCATGGTGGCAAGGCAATGCGGGTGGGACGGATGGACTGGCGAAACTGGGGGGTGTAGTTTTCGTCGAGAGATTGACGAATCGGTAACCTTTCAATGGTCCCATCGTGTGCAGTCACAAAGCTTGGCGAAAGACTTTCTCCCCTTCCGCTGGTGACCATGGTTCTGAGATTTTGCCAGGTGGAGTTTGACGAGGGAAAGTGGATAGGCTTTGATTTCCACCTGGGCTGAGAAAATATGGCTGCTGTTGCCCTGGAAAGAAAATTACAAAGTGTTTTGAAGCCTCAAACAAGAGGGGAAGTTAGCCTCTGTGGGCGTGTGTATCGTGCATCAGTTGCGCGGAAATACCAGACAGAATTGGTACAGGAATACACCAGTTTCGATATTACTGTACTCTGGCGTTACGCACCTGGCGCAGAAATTTCACGCTGAATTCGGCAACTAGTCTGACCGCATTGGCAGCAGCAGATCCAGCGGCAGGCAAGGCCACCACTGCATCACTACCTTCTCAAATCTCGCCCCTCACATTCTGCCTTGCATTTCTTTCTCAACCATGGCTGCCTCTCTGGTTTCTCCCCGCGCGAGCCACGCGCTCTTTTACCTCGGTATCGTCGCCTGCGTGCTCATCCCGTCGCTTGTCCAAGCTGCCGAGACGTGCGGCTGGAATCCTGAATCTGCGGAAGCCAAGGAATGGCAGGGCGAGTTCTTTCCCGCAATCCCCAAGATAGTCTACGAAGGCCCATCGTCCCGTAACACCTTCGCCTTTCGCTACTACAACGCGGATGAGGTCATTCTCGGCCGTCCGATGAAGGAATGGCTGCGATTCGCCGTGGCGTTCTGGCACACGTTCCGCGGCGACGGGTCGGACCCGTTCGGCTCCCCCACGAAGCACTGGCCGTGGGAGGACGGCACCAACTCTCTCGCCATGGCCAAGCGCCGCATGCGCGCGGCGTTCGAGTTCATGTCGAAGCTCGGCGCGCAGTTCTGGTGCTTCCACGACCGCGACATCGCGCCGGAGGGCGCAACGCTCGCGGAATCCAACGCGAATCTCGACGAGGTGGTTGCGCTGGCGGCGGAGCTGCAGGCGCAGACGGGCATCCGCCCGCTGTGGGGCACGGCGCAGCTGTTCAAGCACCCGCGGTACCGCCACGGCGCCGCGACCAGCCCTGTGGCGAGCGTCTACGCGTACGCCGCAGCGCAGGTGAAAAAGGCGATGGAGGTGACGCACCGCCTGGGCGGCGAGAACTACGTGTTTTGGGGCGGGCGCGAGGGGTACTCGAGCTTGGTTAACACGGATATGGGGCTCGAGCTGGACCATCTGGCGAGATTCCTCGCCATGGCTGCGGATTGGAGAGAGAAGTTAGGGTTCAAAGGCACGCTGCTGATGGAGCCCAAGCCGCAGGAGCCGACGAAGCACCAGTACGACTGGGACGCCGCCACCACGTTAGGGTTTCTCGTGCGCTACAACCTCACGCGGCTCGACGCTGCTACAGGCACGCTACAGCCGTTCAAGCTGAACCTGGAGTGCAACCACGCGACGCTGGCGGGGCACAGCTGCGAGCACGAGCTGGAGACGGCGCGCATCGCGGGCGTGCTGGGCGGCGTGGACGCGAACACGGGCGACGCACAGACCGGGTGGGACACGGACGAGTTTCTGACCGACCCCGCTGCCGCGACGCGCGTGATGCTGGCCATCGTGCGCAACGGCGGGCTGGCGCCGGGGGGGATTAACTTCGACGCAAAGCTGCGGAGGGAGAGCACGGACGTGGAGGACTTGTTCATCGCGCACATCGCGGGTATGGACGCGCTCGCGCGAGGGCTGCGCAGCGCCGCTGCTATTATCGAGGCTGGGGACCTGGACAAGCTGGTGCGGGGGCGGTATGCCAGCTGGAAGGAGGGGATCGGTGCGCGGATTGAGAAGGGCGAGGTGGGGTTTGAGGAGCTGGAGGCGGCTGTGATGGCGGATGGGGGCAAGGAGCCGGAGGTGGGGTCGGGCAAGCAGGAGCTGGCAGAGGCACTGTTTCACCGCTTCGTGTGAGGGTGGCCTGGAACCAGTGCGGCTTCTGATCTGGTGCCTGTTGAAGCTTAGCTTTCCTTAGGCTATGGAGGCATACCCTGCGTGGTGAAATGCTAGAGGGTTCATATTCCATGGCGTCTATGCCGTAATGTTGACCCTAGGTACTTGTGTCTCGGGTTACTGCATTGGATGTGTTTTTTGGCTTGTTTCGCTTTGTTTCGTGGCTGAATTTTTGCTCACGTGTAAAACTTTGGCACTCTGCTGCGCTGCATAGTCTCCACCACTGAATCTGGCCGTTCCAACACGTTAGGATAAAGGTTTATTTCAATTGCGCATGGTGCCAGAATACTGGTGGGTAATGTTATATTCACATTTTCTGAATCTAAAAAAAATGGCAAGGAAATGTTTGTTTAGCGAGTAGAGCTTGTTGGTGTATATATACATTTGGTCCGAGGACGGTTGGTGTGTTGTTGGACTTTGGTGGTCCCGCTTTCAGTGATTGGCTTACAACCTTTCGTGGCCCAGAGTTGACTTACTGTGGTCCAGTGATGTACACGTCGGATTAACCCAGCTGGGTCATTTTCTTGGCCCACTGACCTGGCGTGACGCAGACTTGTCGCCTCGCACTGCCCCATGGGAGCTGTATCCGGATCGCGCACACCATCTGATGACAAACGCCCAAGCGGCAGCCAAGCCTCCCATTGGCGGATAATTGGCGCGCCTCGCCCCACCTCAAGCTCGTCTTGCGTGCGCGCATGTTCGCATTCTCTTCCACTCCCTCCATCCCTCTGCTCGCACCAACCTCGCTGCTTCTCTTCCCGTCAACTCGGCACACTCACGGTTTGCCCCACCTGACATGGTTAGCCCAGTCACCACTCCACACCCGTCGGCGTTAGATTCGTCCGGCTCTCGTTCAAGAATAAGAAGCGCTTGTTTTCCGGTTGCTGGCATTGGGAATTTCACTTGCTGATTCTTGTTTCCATCGCCGTTCATATTCATCGCTGGTCACCTGACGAGGGAGTGCTTGAATCTCCTATTAAAGTAGTAGTAGTAGTAAGCTTACCATTTGTGCTCTCTCGTCACCACATTCGAGTTGGACATGTCGACAACTGCTGCTCCCACGGCCAACGGTTTGAAGCTCCTCGACGTGCGCGGGAGGGAGTTCTGCCAGAACGACACGACGCCTCCGATCAAGGCATCCACCATGGACGAGCTTCACCGGCTGCAGAAGAAGAAGTCCAACCCGACCACGCCAAGGGGCTCCACGGGCGGCGATCAGAACGGCGAGAAATTCCAGCAGCAGCTCGAGTCTATCAGGTGAGCGGCCGGGCAACGCCTCCATCTGATTGACACTCTTAACGTACGTGTGTGTAAGGAACGACGTGTACTAGAAAAGGTAGTCTTATCATGAATTTCCCGCCGTTTTTCTTGGTCGCAGCGCGTCTCTGGCATCTCACGTTCGGGAGCACGGGCCCAAGATTGTGACGAGCAAGTGCAAGCCGGCGTCGCAGGGCCACAGGGCCGTCGCTCCGTCGCAGCCGTGCGTCAGCGACAGCTCGCTCAAGCTCACGCACGTGCTCTACAACCTGTCGCCTGCTGGTCAGTGCGCTTCGCCGAAACACGAGGGATTGGGGACTGGGATGAACGATGTGGCATGGTTCTTTAGAAGTTTCATTTTGCGTGGAACTGCTCGTTCCGCTGGCTGATTTCCCGTGTTTCCGTGTCGCTGTTTCCACAGAGCTCTACGAGCAGGCGATCAAGTACGAGAAGGGGTCGTTTATCACGTCGTCCGGCGCCTTGGCGACGCTCTCGGGAGCCAAGACGGGGCGATCGCCCAAGGACAAGGCGTCGTCAAGGAGGAGACGTCCAGCGACGACTTGTGGTGGGGCGAGTAAGTGCCTCAGTGGTACCGTGCCGTATCTCCATCGCCAGTAATCGTGTTCGTGTTTCAGAGCTACAACTATTCCGTTTTCGTCTGAGTTGCTTGCTCCTGACGAGCTGGTTCACGTGGTTTGACTCCGCAGGGGGTCGCCCAACATCGAGATGGACGCGGAGACGTTTCTCGTGAACCGCGAGCGAGCTGTGGACTACCTCAACTCGCTGGACAAGGTACGGTACCCACGCACATGCACTGCACATGCACTGCACTCTCTGTCCACTTTGCTCCACAACCGCTGCATGGAATTTGCAGCAGCAAGCACCGTAGTGGTCACCAAGCAAGCTGAACGGATCATGACTCTCAAAAGAAACTGATTTGTGGTTTTTGTGTGGTTTTGTGTGGCTTGGATCTGCACGCTGGGTGTGCATGGTGCAGGTGTTCGTGAACGACCAGTTTCTCAACTGGGACACGGAGCACCGGCTCAAAGTGCGCATCGTCTCTGCACGCGCCTACCATGCGCTCTTCATGCACAACATGTGAGTCGCTCGCTGCCACCCTGCCACGCCCTGCCGTGCTTCCCTCGGGCCTTCCTTTCAGCACATCTTCTCAAGAAGTGCATAATCATGAGCAATGGTCTTGCTTGCTACCGCGTTTTCTCTCCTTTCCTCACCCACGTGGAATGTGCTTCTGGTCACGCTTGGAATGTGCTGGTCACCATGCTCCGCACATACTCGCTGTGGATCCCTTACCCGCCTTTTCTCCCCTTGCCTCCTCGTTCCCTTTCCGTTGCTGCAGGTGCATTCGGCCGACAGCAGAGGAGCTGGAGAGCTTCGGCAAGCCGGATTTCACGATCTACAACGCGGGGCAGTTCCCGTGCAACCGCTTCACGCACTACATGACGTCGTCCACGAGCATCGACCTGAACCTGCAGCGCAAGGAGATGGTCATCCTGGGCACGCAGTACGCGGGCGAGATGAAGAAAGGGCTGTTCTCCGTCATGCATTACCTCATGCCCAAGCGCGGCGTGCTCTCGCTGCACTCCGGGTGTAACATGGGCAAGGCGGGCGACGTGGCGCTTTTCTTTGGGCTGTCGGGCATGGGCAAGACGACGCTGTCGACGGATGAGAACCGGGATCTGATCGGGGATGACGAGCACTGCTGGACGGACAACGGCGTGTCGAATATCGAGGGCGGGTGCTACGCCAAGTGCATCGGACTGTCCGCGGAGAACGAGAAGGAAATCTTCAATGCCATCAAGTTCGGCACAGGTACAGTGGCCGGGCGGGGCGTTATGGTCATGGGCAGACCAATTTCCTCGATCGGCTTCTTTGCGTGCTGCTTCCCTCGTTTTTCTCGGATTCCCCCATTTCCCCCCCCCCATCCTCTGCTCGCGTTAGATCCACCTCCAACGTGTCTCGTTGCTCCCTTCCGTGGTCACCCCATGCGTGCGCGCAGTGCTGGAGAACGTGGTGTTTGACGAGCACACGCGCGAGGTGGACTATGATGACAAGTCCGTCACGGAGAACACGCGCGCGTCCTACCCCATCGAGTTCATCCCCAACGCGCGCATCCCCTGCGTCGGCCCGCACCCCAAGAACGTCATCCTGCTCGCCTGCGACGCGTTCGGCGTGCTGCCGCCCGTCAGCCGCCTCTCCCTGCCGCAGACCATGTACCACTTCATCAGCGGCTACACCGCGCTGGTTAGTAATCACTTTCTTCGCTTCGATCCGTCTTCTCATTGCAGCTTTCTCATGAGAGAGTTAGCGCTCCGTTGCCTCGTAGTGACCAGACACACCTCTCTGCCCCATGGCTCGCCAGCTTCTGACATATCTTCTCTTGTGAGCCTGCACCGCAGGTCCCTGACCATCCGTCTCATCTGCCTCCCCTCTTCCCTTCTACTCCCCTCTACTTCTCCGCTCCCCTTCTCCTCTCGCCGCACTTCCTCTCGTTGTGTCTGCAACTCGCGCGTGCAGGTGGCGGGCACGGAGGACGGCGTGAAGGAGCCGCGCGCAACCTTCTCCGCGTGCTTCGGCGCGGCGTTCATCATGTGGCACCCCACCAAGTACGCTGAACGCCATTCACGACGGGTCGCTGCTCGAGGCGTCGTACAGCGCCACGCCCATCTTCGGCCTGCAGGTCCCGCATGCCGTCAACGACGTGCCGTCGGAGATTCTCATGCCGCAGAACATGGTGCGTGCGCGGCTAACTGCGAAAAGTAGTAAACCTTCTCGATGCCCCCATGTTGAATGCCAACTGGCGAATGATTCTGGCATCGGAGTCGTGCTGCCGCTGGATTTTTCCCATAAACCCCCATATCTTGGCACTGCGCAATGGCTCTCGATGCCTTCGATCCCCTCACCCGTTTCCTGTGGTCCCCCCTGTGCCCCTAGTCTCATTTCTGTGCCTTTTCATTTGTGCGATATGGCGCAGTGGGAGGACAAGGCGGCTTACGAGGCGACTCTGGTGAAGCTAGCGCGGCTGTTCCAAGACAACTTCAAGAAGTTCGCCGAGTACGACGGTAATGGCAGCGATGGCAAGCTTGCGGCGGATATTCTCGCTGCAGGGCCGCACCTCTAGAGGGGGTGCAGCGGGACAGAAGAGAGGAAGGGGGGTGTATAGAAGCGGTGGTGTATGGTACTTGTACAATTCTTGCAAAGCTGCTTCACATGTATTTAGTTCTTCATGTCCTTTGAGGTTCTTGGTTATGCAACCAACACTTGAGTTCTCTCTCTTCTCAAGTATCTCATTTTTGTAGTCCATAAATGAATATGGTTAATATGCCTGGGAAAACTTGGGAGCGTATCGGGGGGTAAAGATTGTTCAAAAGACTTACGACAGACTGATACATATTCCGTTACAGATACAGAACTAACCTACCACGCTCCTCAAGGGTTACCACGCTCAAGAACTCTCTCAGGGCCGGAGTCTTTGAAGAAGGTGCGCAACTTCTGCCTCGAGGAGGTTCCCTCACAGCAGACGCAGCAGACGTATGTTAGAATCAGCAGGTAGGAATGGTAAGAACAGAAGAGGGGGTTTGCACTAGCAGGCAGGTGGGATACATATAGGAACCCTAAAAGGGTTGTACTCTCTGTTGAGTACCCCACTACAGCCTACACAGCAAATAACATTTTGACACACCCCCATAGGCGAAGTGGGGGATAACCAACACAACAAGAAGTCGCAGGACCAGTTCACAAGCAAAGCCTAGTGGCAGAAACAGTGGGCAAGTGAGGAGGAGGAGGGACCATGAGAGAAGAGGAGGAGGTGGGCGGCCGCTGAAGCTGCTGGCACACGACGCAAACTGGAGTGGCGCACGAACAACTGGTGCAACTGGCACACGGGCAACTGGAGTAACTAGCTCTGCTCGCCGGCAAGAGCAACTGACCCACGGGCGACTGGAGCAACTGGCATACAGGCTCTTGGCGCAGCGGACTCACAGGCGACTGGAGCTGCAGACTTCACGACGGCTACCTCCGTTCAACCTCCCCCCATTGCCCCAAACCCCCTTTTCACATCCCCCTCTGCATCCCTAGCACCACTCCCTCAGCTCCCACACCATCCCCCCCTCAGCGGCAGCTGCAGCAGTGGGAGAGAAAGGAGGAGGAGGAGCTGCCGATCACTCACGCCCGCCACCCCCATACCCTCCCCCCCACGGCTACACGCGCAGCAGGGAGATGAAGGAGAAGAGGGGGGGGCGGGGGGGGGGGGGCGGGGTAGGAGCTGCCCCGCGACTGCAGGAGCAGGCGCGCGGGCTGCAGAGGCGGCGCACGGGCTGCAGGGGCAGCGCACAGGCTGCAGGGGCGGCTCGCGGGCTGCAGGGGCGGCTCGCTGGCTGAAAACCGCCGGCCCCCCGAGGCGGGCGGGAGCCACAGGGCAGCGCGCGCGGGGGCATGGGGCGGCGCGCGGGTCCCACAGGGGAGGCGCGCGGGTCCACAGGGGCGGCGCGTGGGTCCCACGGGGGCGACGCGCGGGTCCACGGGGGCGACGCGCGGGTCCACGGGGGCGACGCGCGGGTCCCACGGGGCGGCGCGACTGGTGCACGGGGGCGGCGCGACGGGTGCACGGGGCGGCGCGCCGAGCAGAAAACCGCCGCGCGCCCCGGGGCGCGCGGGGGACAGAAAACCGCCGCGCACCACGGGGCGCGCGGGGGGCAGAAAACCGCCGCGCATCACGGGGCGAGCGGCGGGCTGAAAAATGTCGCGCGCCCGGGGCGCGTGACTAACAGAATAGCAGCGGAAGCAGTAGGGTGGGCCCATCCACAGGATCGACCAAGGAGGGTCGACCTGCTCTGATAGCATGTTAGAATCAGAGGTCAGGAATGGTAAGAACAGAAGAGGGGATTTGCACTAGCAGGCAGGTGGGATACATATAGGAACCCTAAAAGGGTTGTACTCTCTGTTGAGTACCCCACTACAGCCTACACAGCAAATAACATTTTGACAACGTACCGTGCATCGTGTGCCCTGCCACGTCGCTGACTCACAAACCCTTCCCCGACTTACTTCCTGGCTATGAACGCTACGAGCCACTTGAAAAGGTCTACAACGACTTTCTAATTCTCAGCCAAGAAGGACTCGACGGGGAATACTACACCCTGACCTTCATCGACACATGCACACATCACGTCTGGGCGGTCAACACCGACTGCCGCTCCCTAGCCTTCGAGTGCTTCGTGGCTTGGATGAAACAAGACGAACGCCAATCTGGACCAAAGCTGAAAAGCTTCCAGACAGAAGGTGGCTTGGAATTCTTCTCAACCGAGTTCAAGGAACTCTTCACCAAGAAGGGGATCGAGCACCTTGTGTCCCTGCCCTACGCTCACGAGCAGCAAGGAGTAGCAGAACGGACAAACAGGAGCCTCGCCACAAGGATGAGGGCCCTGATGAAGCAGTCGGCCGTCCCAACCAGGTACTGGCCATTTGCGATGAACCATGCTGTTCGGCTGCACAACTTGCTGTCCTCCCGAAGCCTTGAGAACAACAACTCTCCCTACAGGGCTTGGACAGTCAGAAAAGCGGACACGCGTCTGCTTCAGGTGTTCGGCTGCATGGTCCAGTACAGGCCACACACAGCAAGGACTGGAAAATTTGCTGACCGGGCACGCTGGGGAATCCACCTCGGAATAAAAAAAGAATAGAAGGCGTGGATCGTGCTGGACTATGCGACACACGAAGTGACAAAATCACGTGAGTGCAACTTCTACGAGAAGCTGACTCTGCCACTGTTCAAGGAACATCGCGAAGCTGACAAGGCACCGGAACGGGTTTTTGAGGGGCGACGCAGCTTCGCCACGTCACAGGATGAAGCAGACCTGGCGGAAGATGCTGACGCAGCAGACAACACACCAACCGACCCATATTCCAACATCCCCCTTACAAGCCCCCTCCAGACTCCGACGTTCATACACGTTCATCAATTCGATCCTGCCGATACAACTCGCGAAGCCCACAACTACACCAGTGAAGCGCGCCGATCCCCGGATGCCGAGTTACCACCTCCGAATTCCTCGCAAGACACCCTCCGCCTCGGCAACGACAGCGACGACGACGTCGTCGAAGTTACCAGCTTCCACGACTACGATCGCCTCCACTACGAAAAGACCAACGAAACTGGTCTCCGCATCCTTGGGCTCGCAGTCGCTGTTCGTTACACCTCCCCCAAGGAACCCACCACCGTTCGCCAGGCTCTATCCGGCCTCGACAGTGAGAAGTGGAAGGCAGCCATGGCAGCAGAAGTTGCGGCACTGAAGAGTCGCGGAACGTGGAAGCTGGTTCCACGATCATCAGCAAAGGGGAGGAAAATTATCAGCGGCAAATGGGTCTTTTGCATAAAAACACTTGCAGATGGCTCCATCGACAAGTACAAAGCATGATGGGTGGTACGCGGCTTCGAGAAAACTCACATGGTGGACTTCGACCTCGCCTATGCGCCTGTCGGAAGGCACACCTCGGTGCGCATCCTCATCTGCATCGCAGACGTTAAGCAGCGTCCGCTCCGCCAAATCGACGTCAGCAGTGCATTCCTATACGCCCCCGTCGACGCCATAATATTCGTCGAGCAGCCGCATGCCTTCGAAGAAAATGGCGGCGCCGTCTGCCTTCTCCAAAAATCCCTCTACGGGATCAAACAGGCGCCTCGACTGTGGCAGCAGTACCTGCACACTATCCTAACGGAGCTCGGATTTACTCAGCTGCCACATGATCTCGGGATGTACCGTAAGGAGTCGCGCGGCAAGTTCATTCTCCTTGTCGCCTACGTCGATGACCTACTCTACACCGGCGACGACACGGAGCTGCTGGATCGGTTCGAGGTATCGAGGAGAAGCTTGAAGTGACCATCAACCACAACGTCACGCAATTCCTGGGCCTCAACATCACCCAGTCCGCCACCTCCATCCACCTCTCCGCCGCCAAATACGCGGAAACACTAGCGAAGAAGTTCGCCGTCGCTCCGATCAACCTCACCACCCCCTTCCGCACTCCTCCTCCTAACCACGAACCTGACACCACACCGCTCTCCATCGAAGATCATCGGCTCTATCAGCAGCAGCTGGGGTGCCTCCTGTTCGCCGCCGTCACGTGCCGGCCCGATCTCTCCTACGTCGCAAGCCAGCTCGCCCAGTACCTGAAGCGACCTGAAGGGGAGAATTTACTGGATCCACGCCGAGCACTTCAATACTTCGTCTCTACTCCTAACGTCGGGCTCACCTACGAAGCTAATCTAACCGCTACTCTGCACCTTCATGGCTACGTTGACGTAGACCACGCAGGAGACATTGACATCACACGCTCCCGCACAGGATTCATTTTTCAACTCCAACCTGCTGGACTCATCTCTTGGAACTCCCAGAAGCAAAAGCTCATCGCGCTTTCGTCAGCCAAAGCTGAGTTCATCGCCGCCAGTGCAGCTGTTCGCGAAGGACTGTACTTGATGGAGCTCCTGCAAGAAGCGAAAGTGACGATGAACAAGCACTTCACGTTACTCTGCGACAATCAGAGCACGATCAAGATCGCGAACAAGCCCAGCTTCGTGAATCGCACGAAGCACATCGCACTCCGTTCCTTTTTCGTCAAAGACGAGATCGACAAAGGCAAGGTCAAACTCACGTATTGCCCAACTGGTGACATGACAGCCGACTTCCTGACGAAGAAACTGCCACGTCAAAAGTTCCAGCACTGCACCGACCTCTGCGGGATCTCGAAGAAATCCCACGTTGACGCAGACCACGCGGGAGACATTGACAACAGACGCTCCCGCACAGGATTCATTATTCAACTCCAACCTGCTGGACTTATCTCTTAGAACTCCCAGAAGTAGGAGCTCATCGAGCTTTCGTCAGCCGAAGCTGAGTTCATCGTTGCCAGTGCAACAGTTCGCGAAGGACTGTACCTGATGGAGCTCCTGCAGGAAGCGAAAGTGACGATGAACGGGCACTTCACGTTACTCTGCGACAATCAGAGCGCGATCAAGATCGCGAACCAGCCCGGCTTCGTGAATTGCACGAAGCACATCGCACTCCGTTAAAATTTTCGTCAAAGACGAGATTGACAAGGGCAAGGTCAAACTCACGTATTGCC